TAACAAAGCCCAAACAGCTTAGAAAACAAAGTTCTTCAAAAATTTGACACCCAAAAGACAGCTAAACTGTAGTGACATGATGTGAGGCAACTTATAGTCTGTATTTCTACTGAACTTGTGTCTTTTTGCTGTCATAGAACTGGGACTGATTATAAGTTGCTATTCCAATTCTCACTAGAATTATTGCAAAATGTCCTGGATTGTATGCATTAATTTATTTTTTCTAAAAATCCAAATAATTTTAATTTCTGAAGCATATTCATTACAAAGAGTTTTGGGTATACAACAGTAATAGCTCTATATAGATGTGATTGTACATATTTATAGGTTGTATCTTCAGGATAAGTTGGAAAATTAGAATTACTAAAGTTACATGAATTTTAAATTTTAATGGATATCATCCAGTTGCTCTTCAAAGATATAAAAACTTACATCAAAAACAATATAAAGTGAAAGTGTCTGCTCTTTCACACCCTAACAAGACCTTTATGCCTGTTAATATAAGTAAAAGGAGATAACTCAGGCAATGTTCAATTTATTTCATTATGGATGAGATTGTGCCTGACATTGGATCAGTTACCCAACTTCTCTCATATATATTGCAAATATTTTCCAGCTTACTGTTGGCATTTTTATTGTACCTTATTTATGATCATTTGTTTGCAGAAAGTTCTGACCTTTATGAGTATATTGATCACCACTTGGAATTTATTTTGGAGTAAGGAATCATATTAGATTTCTATTGCTGCTATAAAAACAGCTTAAATCAATACAAATCTGTTATCTTTTCGTTCTCTAAGTCAGAAATCCAACACAACCTGAGAGGACCAGTGAGGGCTAAAATCCTTGATCAGAGTTCTCTGGGATAAAATCAGAACTGGCTAGGGATGTTCTTGTAGAATTCCTCAGTGAATCCATCAGAACCTGGGCTTTTCTTTGTTAGTAGGGTTCTAATTACATTTTAAATTTCATTAACTGAAATTGGGTTATTCAGCAGTTTTGTACCTTCTTGATTCAGCTTTGATAATTCATATGTTTCTAGGAATCTGTCCCTTTCTTCTGCGTTATCGAACCTATGAGAGTAGAGGTATTAGAAGTAGATATTGATGAATAGAAGTAGATATTGAAACTCTGTAGTGATTTAACCCTTTTCATTTCTTATTGCATGGATTTGAGCCTTTTCTTTCCTCTTTGCTAGGACTTTACCAATTTTATTTATTCTTTCAAAGAACCAACTCTTTGATTCATTAATTCTTTTATTGCTTTCTTAGCTTCAATTGCATTAATTTTTGCTCTGATCTTTATAATTTCCTGCCTTTTTAGGCTTTGGGCCTGACTTGCTCTTCTTTTTCTAGAAGTTTGAGGTGCAGCATTAAGTTGTTTATGTGTGATCTTTCCGTTTTCCTAATGGGGAGTTCAGTACTACAAATTTCCCTCTAAAGACTGCTTTCATTGTGTCTCATAGGTTCTGGTAATTTGTATTTGCATTTTTGTTCCATCGTAGATATTGTTTAATTTCTTCTTTAATTTCTTCTGTGATCCACTGGTCATTTAGGAGAGTGTTATTTAGTTTCCACATGTTTTGACATTCTTGTGGGGGTTTTGTAATTAATTTCCAATTTTATTGTGCTATGTTCAGATAATATGCATGGAATTATTTCAATTCTTTTGCATTTACTTATGCATGTGCTGTGAGTTAGTATATGATCTAGAATGACCTGTGTGCAGCTGAGACGAATGTGTATTCTGATGTTGTTGGGTGAACGCTCTGTACACATCTACTATTACTATTTTTTCACAAGTTTGATTTAGTTCTGTTATTTCTTTGCTGATGTTTTGTTTGGTTGATCTGTCTTTTTGTGACAGTGGGGTGTTAAGGTCTTCTCTTATAACTGTATTATTATTTGGTTTTCCACACCTATTAAAATTCGTGTTACATAGCCTAATGCTCTCATATTTGGTGCAATATCCCCATGGCTAGCCAGGGTTCACCCCAGACCTACGGCACTAGATCCTTGTGCCCTGTGGCGTGTGAGGCTGGCCAGGTGTTGCCCTGATATACTGCACTGGGTTGCTCTGGGATGCTGGGCTGGGCAGAGGTTGGACCCTCTTGCTGCTAGCACGGACAGACTCCAGGAGTGTGTTGCTGGGGCCTAGAGCTTAGTTGAGTGGAGTTGAGAACCTCTGGCACTCACGTGGCTAGTAGGGACACACCCAAGCGTGTCACCAGGGCCTAGGGCCTGGTTGGGAGGAGTTCAGAACCTCTGGGACCCAGGCAACTAGGTGGATCATGACCTTGGGTGTGGCACCACCTGAACCTTCTTTCTGGCTGAGAGGAGTTCAGAGGCTCTGGAGCACGCAGCTAGCCAGAGCATATCCCTGGAATATAGTGCTAGGGCCTTGATCCTGGCTAGGCAAGTTTCAGAACCTCCAGGATCTGCAATATAATTAGCTGAGCTGCACTCCTGAACTATGGAGCTGGGGTCTTGTGCTCTGATGGACAGAGCTCAAATTCTCCAAGATCCATTGTCGATCCCTGATGTGCGGCTCTGGGACTCTAGGCTGCGCTGGGCTCAGTACCTCTGTGACCAGTGAGGCTGGTCAGGCATTCCCCTGATGGATTGTGCTAGGTCACTGGGCTGGGCAGAGTTTGTATCCTCTGTGCAGCTAGCAAGGACGCACCCCTGGAGTGCAGTGCCGGGCTCTTATGCCTGGTGGAGTTCAGAACCTCCAGGCAATATTAATTTTATATTACTTTTCTTTGCATCATCTTAGAGTTATTGAATTGCTATTTCATGGTGCTTGTTATTTTTAAGTGTTCTTTCCTTTCATGATCGCTAGCTGTGGTTCTGTCTTCAAGGTCTCAAAGTCTATTTCATTTTTATTCAAGTGATTTTTCCATCTTTCAATGGAATTTTTAATCTCCTAGAAATCTCTTTGAATTTATTTCATGCCTTCTATTTCTGTCCTACATTGTTCATTCAAGGTTTCCATCGTTTTCCCATGCTCCTGTACTTTTTCATGTCTTCTCTAGCTATAGCAAGCGACTCGTTTATTAAAGCTGTCATTACTTTCTTTACCTGAAAGATTATTTCTAATCTGATTTTTCTCTACAGCCTCATTGATTTCTTTTGTTTGCTATAATTTCAGGTGTGTGATTTTCTGTCTTTCTATACTTGTTCCAGATGGGCTGGGCATTTGAGATTGCGTTTTGCTTTTTCATTTTGTCATTTTCACCTCTTGGGCTAATACTTTGGTCTTTTCAATACTGCTAGTCTCAATTGTCCATTGTGTGTCTTAGGGTCCTACTGTGTGGCTGATACTCACCCAGTTGCTAGGTCTTACAGAGTATGGGAAGGGCCATGCCCCTGAATTCCTCCTGAAGACCAGTTGTGGGAGTCCTATATTCTTCCTAGACTGACTAGTTTAGTGTTGATGTGAACTAACACTTCAGGTGGTGGAAGGGGTCACTGAAGGACTTATGGGCTGCTGATGTAGGCAGGGTGAAGGGGAGTGGCAGCCAGGCTCCCCTCCGCTGCTAAGGGCTTCCAGGTCCATCTATCCTTTTTTTAATGGTCATTAACTGTTTCTCATATACAAAAATGTATCTGCCTTAAAAACTTAATTTTGTATCAAAACATTGTTGACTGATCCTAACTTATCTTCATGATCCTATAGAACTATAATTTGGTTGGTTAGTTTTGTTCATTAATATATTCCTACCCTCAGTTCTAGGACTTTTGAATCTATCTGGATATTAAAGTCCTGTACTTGTCTGGCTTTGATATAAAAGTTATGCTAACTATATAAACTGACCCTGCAAACAGATCCTCTTTTTCAAATATCTGGAGCAGTTTGTATAGACTTGAGAGAATTTGTTTTAATGGTTAGAAAAGCTCCTCAGCAATCTTATCATTTATTTTTTAAATGGTTTTTTTTTTTTTTTTTTTTTTGCTGATGTAATTGTAGGTCCTATACAAAGGTAGGGTATAATACAGAAAGCCCACACACCCCCCACCTTGAACAAAAGACCTTCACACTGAGCTACATCTCGAGCCCTTCTTTACTTCGAGACAGGGTCACACTAAGTCACTAACTTGCTCAGCCTGGGCTCAAACTTGGGAACCTGAGTGCTGAGGTCACAGGTGCAAGTACCACCACACTGGGCCCCCAGGTACTAATTAATCAGACTGTCCATTATAAACACCTTGAAAAACTAATACAATATCCTAAGTATGACATTTCCATGAATATAATCTTTCAGATTTCCCTTTGTATTTTGTTCTAACCAACTAACCATTCATGCATTTGTGTACCTGACACCACAGTCAAATCACAGAACAATGCCATAACCACAAGGACCTCATTTTGTCCTTCTTTAACACAGATAGGCAAGTAGCGTCTTCTTTTTTTTTGTTTTGTTTTGTCTTTTTCCTTTTTATCGGTACCGGGGATCGAACTCACGACTGCCTGCTTGCAAGGCAGGCGCTTATGCCGCTGAGCTAAATCCCCAGCCCCAGCGTCTTCTTAATGTGTATTTCCCTAGTGGTTAGCAGCCCAGAAAAGATTTTCTGTTTGTACTTGTGTCCATTTTGACAAAGTTCATTTCTCCTAAGAAACATTTGCCAAATACTTGAAATTCATTGAATAAAACACACACATTTTGAAATATTTTCCTTACCACATGTATTCACGAGTCAGATCTACCTCTCTCAAAGACTGTCAACTGATTTTATGCAAAAATTATATGAAAATTCATTTGAAACAAAATCTGTTTATAGTAAAATATCTAGTCTTACTATAGTTTTCATTCGTTATTTTGAAACAGATGCCCGATATATTTCCTATGGAGATTTCTTAAACCCTCTGCTATTTAGACAGAGAAGGTACAAAAAAATAAAAAGTGTCTCAGAATAGATAAGTCTGCATTCTAGTTAATAAGCCTCAGGGCTTATTAACAGTGAAACTCTGAATATATCATTTAATCACAGGATTCAAAGTTCTCTCCGTTTCTTTTTTTTTATTTTAAAGAGAAAAAACTGAAAAATTAAGAAGGAAACTGTCAAAAAACAACAACAAAAGCAAAATGACAACCACAACAACAAAAACAATGGTGATACAAGATTTCAAAACAAGATGATAGGTACTTAACAATGTTTATTATATTGCATATTGTTATCATCAAAAAAATTACTCAGATTATCAGATACAGGCATGCAAGAGTGATCAAAGAATGTAACTTCTCTTCGAGTAATTTTTGTTTTTACTATTATCTATTGTAGCTTTTGGATCTTATTTGTTCTTTCAGTTTCTTACACAAACAAGACAATCTGATGTTTATATATGCAAATCTGATTTATTTCATTTATGAGCATGGTTTCTCGTTGCATCCATTTACCTATAAAAGCCTCAAGTGTATCATGCTTCATGGTTGAGTTGTATTTCCCTTGTGTAAAAACATCACATCTTTTTTATACTTTCCTCAGTTAATGGACATTTGAGTTGCTTCCAGATCTGGTTATTACAAATTGTGCAGCTATAAACATGGGTGCACATATGTCACTGTGGTATGATGCTTTTAATTCTTCTGGGAAAATACCCAGAAGGGGAAGAGCTGGGTTGAATGAAATCTCTAATCCTAGTTTTCTAAGGAATCTCCACACTGATTTTCATAGTGGTTGAACCAGTCTCCATTCTTACCAACAATGAAGAAGGGTTCCTTTTTCCCCACAGCCCCACCAGCATTTGTTATTGGTTAATTTCTTGATGTTAGCCATTCTTCTGGGATGAGATGATATCTTGGTGTTGTTTTAATTTGTGTTTCTCAAATGACCAGTGATGCTGAACGTAAAGTCAAAATGGATCAAAGATCTAAATTTTAAGACAGAAATATTAAACCTACTGGAAGACAAAGTAGGTAGAAATCTTGAGGACATAGGGGTAGGCAAAGAGTCCATAAACAAAAACCAAACTGCAAGGGAAGTACTTCAAAGAATCAACAACTAGGATCTTGTCACATTAAAAAGTTTTTGCACACAAAAGAAATCACCAACAGAGTGGAAAGAAAACCCACAGATTGGGAAAATATTTTTGCCAACTGTCCCTCAAAGGACTTTTATCTAGAAGGTATGCATAAAAAACTGAAAAAAAAACAGGACTCTCAAATCTAAAGTATAAATATTTTAATAGTGTCCTCTCATTTTTAAAATCTATTCTCTTTTGATCCTAATGATGTTTTTAGTACCTAGTCTTTGGTTTTTTGTTTTGTTTTGTTTTGTTCATATATACATCCATCACCAAAGGTTTAATATTTTTCTTTTAAATGAACTGATTCTATCTTCTAGAAAAATGTATTTTCAGGGAGTGAACTTGAAAAACCTTAATGCCAAGTTGCATCCTATAATAAAATATTATGAAACTGCAAAAAGAAAATAACTCTTATTATATTTTTATTAACTCAATGTTTTCTATTTTTTTCTTTTCCTTCTTCTGCTTATACTTTCCCTCTAACTTTTTGAGTTCAACATGTAACCAATTAATTTTCAGTCTTTCCTTTTTCTATTCATCAAAAACTTAATAATTCTTAAACAAATTTTATTCATACTGAAATGTACAGTTTCATTGTTAATTGCAAATATTTTCTAAATTCCAATATACGTTCATCTTTGACCTGAATTAAAGTTAAACATGAATTTTATTATTGTGTTCATGTTACTTTTTTATAAATGCATTTTAGTGATAGAACAGTCTGATACATCTCCAACCCATTTTATATGAGATAGGTTCTTGCTAAATTGACCAGGCCAGACTCCAATCTGTGATCCTCCTGGCTCAGCCTCCCAAACTGCTGGGGTTACAAGGGTGCACCACTGATCAGCCCACAGACAAATCTAATCCCATGTCCACTTAGGGCCCATTCTCCTCCTCCCATCCCATGCCAGACAGGCAATGGTTACTCTGCGCCTTGCACTATAGCATCTAACTAGGACTTTCTGGATTAATGGTCTCTAACAAAAAGCACTGTGATTCTCAAACAACAAAGCAAAGAAAATCTTCATTCATTCATTCACATGATTAGTGCATTAACTCCTCAGTCCACACCCATGAGTAAAGGAAGCAGAATGATGATAACTCCACTTTACAGACAAGGAACCTGAGATCCACAGCAGCAAGGGGCTGCTTCCAAAGTGACAGCAGGTGACAGAATACAAATCAGCTCTGCCTGCAGCTTGGCCTCCCTCTCCCAAAACAAACCAGTCCTTACATTAAAAAATCTTTAACGCAAAATTACAGAAATTATAACAAAAACTCCATACATACTTTAAGCTATAGAGAAATTATATATGTGAATTGCTTTCCTCTTTTACGTATTCATTCAAAATTTTATCAACTATCATTTTTCAAATGTTATGTTGGTTTTATTTATGGTAAAACTATCAAGGTATTTTAGCATTTTGTTTTCATATCAAAGGAAGCCTGGGATGTGGCTATTTTAAAATTTATAAACAGAAGGTTTTGCTTGATTACCTGCTTGATTTACCCATAAACTAAATGAACCACTCTCCTCCACTATTCTATAGTGTACTTTACACAGGACTGATACCCAATCAGCACTTCTTCAATTTGAAAGTTTTAACAAAACTTAAGGTGAGTAGATAATGTTCTACTGCAAGTTTGTATCTATTCAAATATGATTAGGAAAATGAGTTGGTCACTAATGAACAATCTGAAAATGGTGCTAAAGGTCAAGCTCAGTGTTTATAAACTAACCCTAAATCAATAAAAGACCCTTTGTAGGTGAGAAGATAATTTGAGTGATCCAAACACACACATAGTTTTGCTCCTGGGATTAAGTACACAGACGTCCATATTAGGATTGTTTGGAATCCAACAATCTTAGGTTAGGATCACAGAAGTACAGGAAGAAAAAAATAAAGCAAAAGACCTAGGGAAAAAGTTGTTCACAAGGAAAGCAATAAAGCTAACAATGTCACTTAGAAAATGGAAATCCCTCGTCTTGTTAGGGCCGAACCAATAAGACGTCCACAGGGCACCTCTGTCACAATATTCCAGTCTGTCCTTTCTCATAGTCTACCTTGGGCTCCAGTTGGCAGAACAATATAACAGATGTTCTCTGGGGTGGCTCTAGGCCTTCTGGCTGACACTCATTCGGGAGAATATCTAATTGATATTTTTACCCATCTTGTCTCACCTGCACATATGAACTGTCTTGGAGAGAACACTGAAGGGAAGCAAAAGAGATCACAGTTCATGTTTTACTAAAAACATGTATCCATCCAGGTCAACACACAGTCACATGTCCCAGAATATACTTGATGGTCCTGAGAGTGTCACATCAACTCTGGTGATCTGATTTTTGAATGGTGACCCTAACGTGTGTTTCCAGTTCCAGTAAGTTTTGGTAAAATTTTTCAGCAGTGTCTTCATCTACGTCCAGCTGGAAAAGAAGCAAAAACAGGAATGACTAGAAAGGGAAAAATAAATAAATATGTGTATAAAAGGAAGGCACTCCACACATTTGAGAGAATTGAAAGCAAAGAAAGAAGCCCACAGAAAAGGTTTAATGTGGCTGTCATTGGTGACTGTCAGGAAACTCTTAAGATCCTGAAGACATATTATAATTCTTATGCAAATTCTAGCATTCACCAAGCTTTCTCCTACCTTGAAAAATAAGATTGAAAGATCTGCATGTTGCTATCTACCCTGACTCCTATGAACCCAGTAACAGAAGACACAAGGCCACTGAGAAAGAAAAACCCAAAAGAGGTAAGGTAGCAGTCCTTTGAATTTCCAGTAACTAATCACTTCCTAAGATCCATCGCCTTTTGTTAAACTGTCCTGGTGAGCTGTGCTCACTCTCCTCCAGCACAGCTCCTAGCCTCTCTGGAGGTTGTGAGTAGCATGTGACACTATTCTAACCAATGAGACCTGGAAACTTTTCAAAAAGAATAGGGCATCCTTTCTTTTCTCTCTTCCCAAGACTGCTCTCTTGAGCCACAAGGATGAGGACCACACCCTCAGGACAGCAGGGCAGTGACTATGAAGGACCAGATGCTTGACCCTTTTGGAGCTGCCACGCCAGACTGAGGCTGCCTCTCTCTAAACTGCTTTTAAATGCAAGAAATGGAAGACAACATCTTGTGTGAATCACTGTTCTTTTACACTCTTGTGTTTCAGATTTTAAAATCTCAGCTTAACCAATACCCTATATATAAAAGCAAACTTTCAGCCCATATAAAACAATGATATCTTGTTTTCAAGTCAAATGTAGGCTAACATTTTGGAAATAACATTTGAAGTCATTCAATCGTTTTAGTTTTTTTTTTTTTTTTTTTTCCATATTGGAATTGGAAGAAATAGAGATCTTTCTAGCTCAACAGCATCTTATAACAGATAAGAGGGGTAACTTCCCCAAATCAATCACAGGTTAAAACAGTTTATGCATTTTCATAGAATGCTAGTAAAGAATTTGCTGTGTAGAAATAAACACTTTTCTCCACTTGATAAGCAAATCATTTCCTTTAGGTTATTAGATGGGTAAATTTAAATAAGTTCTGACTCAATGATTTACAACAGAGTTCTCCAAAATGTGTTCTTTCAGGTGTTAAGGGTGATGTCAAATTTGAAGAAAAGAAGTTAATGTAGTCAAGAACAGTTTGGAAAAACCAGGATTAAACACATCACATGGTGCACGCATGTGCACACATACACATTTCTTAACTGTTCCAACTTCTCAAAGTTTCTACTGAGCTGATGCACTTCAAATAAATCTCTTTGAAAAAAGAATACAATAGGAAATATTCCTCAAGTTTATATGTGGGGAGGACTGCTTCTTGCAAATGTTCTCAAGGAACTAGCAGAGAAAAATGAGGGGCTGAAAAAAATCTACTCCTGACAAAGGTACAACAAAATAGTTCCTATAGTTCAAAATAAATGTTCCCATTCCCCAGTATGTAACTCCACGTGTGATCTCTTTTCAGAAGATGGAGAGCAAAAACCACACTATTGATTTGATTTTTTTCCTGCCATCTTCAACCTATCAATCTATTAAAGCCAGTAATTGTCACAAACAAAATCGAATACTAAAGGAAAGTTAACTTCACATATAAAGAGATTCCATATTCCACCTAATCTGCAACATACTTAACTGTGCGTTAAGAAACGGGGTAGAGGGAGGTTATCCTTCACTTTCTGGACTTAAGTGTTGAGGGGGAACCTGAGGGTGAGGAGTGCTAAAAACAACCAGTATAACAGAGCCCACCAGCAAGCCCCCGGCCTGAGCTGAAGTCATAGGAGTCTGGGACATGAGCTGAGATCTAAGCAATGAACTGAAATCAATCAGACAACAGAAAGGTATAAGCAGCTTATGTGGAGGGAACAAGCTATGCAAAGTTCAGCAGCACAAGGAAGCAGAAAGAAGTGTGATAGGGCCATAGGGATGACAGTGAACAGAATAGAGACCCAGGGAAGACAAAGTGGGGAACGACAGGGCTGCTCAGGCCTGCGGCCCATCAGCTAGCAGCAAGCATCTTCAACGTAACAATGTGAACGAACTTACCTTTTGCATAGTGACATAACTGTTTCCCAAGCCTGTGGTGGCACTTAGATATTTCATTAGCGGATTGAGAGACTCAGGTTTTTGGTGGAAAAGCCATACCTGAAAAGCAAGAGTGTGCCAGTGAGTGAGGTGGCTAAGCACACACTGGGTTTTTACCAGCCTGTCTTTCTACTAGAGGGCACTGAGCAATGTTCCCTGCATTTGTAATCATACACCTTATTATAAAGACACTCACGCAACAGGACTCCCAGTGCTGCTTTAGAAAGTGGCTGCTTTAGAAAAGGATGAAGGGAAAAGTTTGTGCAAAGTGGGGGAAAGTATTTTGAGAGGGAGTAATGTACAGTGTGTTATTTACAATAAAGTTCTACTTAAACACACAGTGTATTTTTTGATCCAACCTGTAGTTTACCCTGCCTTGACAATGTAAGAGTTCTTATCTTTCTCTAAATACTGGTCAGTATGGTACATTAGCCAACTTTCTGAGGGTTGCTAAATGGAATTAATAACTAATTTTTCATTAGATTTTTCATTGGCATGTCTTTTCATGAGTGAAGGTAAGCATCTTTTAATACAATTCAAACAGTTTAGAAACTTTCTGCCATGTCATTTGGTCATTCCCTTACATTGTTTTTCATATGATTTGCTGAACCTTTTAATATACTAACAAAATTAACCTTTTATCTATCATATGAATGGCAGATATTTTCTTCCTCATGAAGTTTTTGAGTTTTACTTACAGTAAAACTTCTGGTCAAACTTTTAAATTTTATTTAGTCAAAACTTTCAGTATTTTCTTTACAGTTTATAACAACAGATAAGCCTTCACACTTTGAAATGATCCATGATTTCTCCTAACAATAATATATTTTAATTTTTAAGTTTAATCATCTATAACATTTAATTATGTAAGATATGAAAAAAGATTCTATTGTACTTTCTGATATCAACATTTGCTGGATAACCCTCTTTTTGTCACTCAATTTGGAATGTCATTTTTATCATATATCAAATCCTTGTTCATTTATGAGCCTATTTTTGTTCCATCATTGGATTAACGTAGATGTCTAAACTGTGCTATTTTCATTAAAATATTTCCTTTAAAATTCAAACACTAAAATACATCAACCCCTTTGCAATATGCATTCTCTCCATTTCTTCCATGCTTCCTATTACAAATAAAATAAAGCTAAGGTTGATGAAAAAACATGTTCAGTGGTTCACAGCCAAGAACTGGAGTAGGAGGAGGTGAACAGCTAACATAACTGCAGCACCCTCGCTCTTAACCACAGTGCTTCAGGTCTCTCAACCTCAAGCTCGTGCTCGTCAAGAAGACAGCACTTACCCAGACACTGACATACGGCTGCACCCTTCAAGTGGTGTGCTCATGTGCACTAGCACCTACAGCCATCACAAAATCATTAGCTGATATTCTCCAACCCATCCATACTTTGGGAAATGGTAACGTCACTAGGACCGTGAACAGAGTGTCTCATCGTTCAGTCAATCCAAATACAGTCAGTCCTACAGAGCCCAGATCAAGTCCCACCAAGTGAGCAAAGTCTGCACCAGGCCTGCCCACTTGCCCTCCTTTCTGATTGCTCCTACAGTGCTCACCACCTGGTTATGAAGTGTCTTATTTTCTTACCTATTTTTTTGAAATGTATTTCTAGGCTACTTAGTTAACAGGGGATTTTTGTTTTCTAACTACTCTCCACACTACTGACACTCAGTATATACTTGACCTCTAGACTTGATTTCCAGAACTTAGACATACAGAATAAATAACCCTTAAAAGACTATATATTAATGCTTCTAACCAACTGACAATTATATTAAGGGTTAATTAAAATATGGCATAAAAGCACTTGCTCCTACAACCAATTTGTATCCTTACCATAAGTGCACTTGATTCTCCAGTGCTTACAAAACAAGAGCATATTTCCTTCACGTTTTCCTCAGTTAATTTCAATTTAGTCAATGTCTGAGAATCTCCTGAGTGTAGATACTCCAGTTCTCAGAGTGAAGAGCAAAATCCCACAGGAGCTCAAAGAAGTCAGCACATAAGGAACTGACTCTAGTGCCCTGGGCTTTCAACTAGATCATGTGAAGAACAAATATCAAGTTTTACTTTGCATGACAATTCTGTTCTACAAACAGAGGTTGCCTTAGGTACTCTGGGGTGAAACATATTCAGAGACATCACTGTTTACTGTGAAATGTGGTTCATTACTGATGTCTGTCTTGATTTAAGGTAATGCACTATTTTCCTTATAAAGGAACACTTTGATGCTCTGATATCAAGAATGGAAAGAGAATCTTCACATAAACATTAGAGATGACTTTGTTGCCCCTATTCTTGTCTATAAGATACACTTCATCTATAGAAAATCGCCCCCGATCACTTAACCACCATCTTGCTTTTCTTCACCATCTAGTGGTCTGGTGCTATCTGTCCTTCAGCTGCTGATGCATCTTGAATCTATAGAAATGCTTTCCTTACATTCATGGTAACCACTGCCCTAGGAAATGTTACCCTTTCAAACAAACTTCACTCCTCAAGTTCCACATCTGGCCTGATGGTCTTCTCTTCTTCTTCTCTTACTGTCCTTTCAGAAAAAACTTTTTCTACTACACAAACCTAAATTTGCATCTTCTCAGCCATTATACAAACTTTGAAAACTGTAGTAACATACCAGTGCTTCTGATCCATTGTGTGGTGTTAAAGTGAAAGCGTTTGCAAAAAAGCGAAGCTGAGAAAAAGAAAACAACAATCATTTGTGGTGGTTTAGAATAATCACAAAAGAATCACTCATTTAAATATTAAGAAATTTTGCATTTCAGGATCATAGATCATTTTTGAGAGTCAAAACACACACAAAGAAATGTCACTTAATCTCCCCTACTCTGGATCAACTAGTTTGCACATGAAGCAAACTAGTGATTATTCTGATCTTTCTACCATGCTTGTCATTATGGAGGAACACTTTTTTCTGACTTGTAACAAGAAAACATTATTTGTTGAAAGCAGAATTTTCCAATGTATGCTAGAAGAACAGTGATCCTGCAAGATTCTCAAAACCCAAATCAAAAGAGACAAATAAAAATAAAGTTCTAGATAGTATGCACATTCATCCTTTTCTTGAGAGCTTTTAATACATATGACCACATTGAAAACTCAGAGAAGTCCAGCTTTAACACTGTTTTACATGGGTCTTTCCAAAATTATCTGAACACAGAACTCTTTGGCTCTGTGGTACATGATCAAAGGAAAAAAGTGGACACTCAGATACTAAGGTACTGGTAAATAATAGAAAGTATGACACAGAAGTCACACGTTAGCAACATCAATAACAAGAAGTTAAGTGAAATCCTGCCCCCTTCAAGATCAATTTCTTAAATAACTTCCTAAACTTAAAGTGTTTGGGTTCATCACTCACCAGCCATATCACTGGCATCAGAAGCGTCCACACAAAGGGAGGTAGAATTCCATACGTCATATTGGTCAATACTGTACCTGGGCATACCACATTGGAATAGAGACCCTGGGAGCACAAAGAGAAGTAGCAATAAGATTTTAATTCAGTACATATTGATTCAATCCAACTACATTCTAGTTAATAAGAGACACACATATAAGCCAGGAAGTCAGGGAAGAAGAACTTATGCTCTAAGTTGTCCTTGGAGTTGAACGGATCATTTTAGTTTATTAACCATGCACTGGAAACCCTCTATGAGAAGAACTCAGAATGTAAAAGTCAGTAAGATGTAGTTTCTAGTCTCAGGAAATTTGCAGTATATAGAATAACTGATCTTAGAGGTGGGAGCAGAGTATACGCCCTGGTGATCTGGTGACTTGAGTTTCCCGTGTTATTAACTTAACTGAAGATCAGTTTATTGATCCTAATAAACACTTTAAAAAGACCCTTGTGTTCAAGAAGTTTCTGATCTAGTAGATAGAGACAGTAAGCCTAAAATACATGCTGTTTCTCTATAGCTCCATAGAACCTATAGATGGGTACCTGAGATGGGGGCTCCTGGCATTAGAGAGGAAATAAAGGCTGTATTGGTACTACAAAGATTTTCTGCAAACTGGAGACCTCCAAATAAGGTCCTCAGTCCAGGAGCCATCATTTTAGAAAGTTCTATCCTACAAAGAGAGCCCCGAATAATACAGAGCTTATGTTTAAAGGGCCCTCACTCATGTGTAGTAAATCCTGCAGCACTGAGACTGGTTTCACTCTTTTATTTTCATTTTCCCTGTATTTTAACTTATGCTGATATTACTTTAACTTATTTTTATTATGTGTAACCTCATTTTTTTCTTTCAAATGAAAACTAGATGTGCCGTGTAACACAGATCTATAGGCAGACAGCACCCTGACAACAGAAGCTAGAAGCTTCTTTACCTCTACTGGTCAATGCGGAGACCTGGAAGTTCCCGACACAGGTCATCTATCCCTGAGTCCCTCAATGAACAACTGTCCTTGGGGGGAAAAAAGCCAAGGCTGGCACTCATCATCATTACAGCCCCCAAATCTTCCTTGGGGAACATTTCTTAATCTAGGAACCACTAGGAGTAGTAATGAACTATTCAATCCTAAATGAGAAACTTTCAAACAAAATTGAGGGTTTTCAACATTTACAGTTTTCTAGCATTGATTAGCAAAAGCTACACAGAAGTAGTCTTATCCAAGTGGACTGACTCTTCAGAGGCATGTCTTTCAGTAAAGAGGATGATATACAGTAGAAGTTCAGAAACTCGAGGACTCCCTAGAACTGGATTTGAATTCTGACTTTGGACTAGCTTGCAACCTTAGGTGAATTATTTAATCTCCTCATGTCTCAGCTGCCTCTTCTGCTTCTTCTAAGAGGCAATAAATTACGATGATCTTGAGAATTTCTATATAGCTTGCACACAGAACATTAATGGACTATTAATATCCATCAGGGAGCATCTACAGAAACTGATATTTCCAGTAACATAAGATTTTGAAAGGAATCTTCTCCTATGACTCTAAGTTTCTTCTTTCCTCACAAAAGCCAAAGAGGAAAAGTCAAGGGCTGAGAATCTATCCTAATTGTTTCTGAGCAGGGAGCAGCATTTGCTAGAACACATTTTGTTTGTTTGTTAAAAGATGAAATCTCAAACCTTTCCTGACAATTGAAACTTAAATAAAACCCCAGCATTTTTTATGAAAAGAGAAGCTAATCCACTGTGACCTCACCCTCTAAAAGGGAGTTTCCAAAGTATCAAGGAACAACTTGACAGTTTCTACATATCTTACAAAATGTTAACAGGTTCATAACTGAACCAACACACTAAGCCCAAGCTTTGATAACAGTGGGCAACACATGAACACAGAAGAACACACACAGATGTACACATACATACACCCCATGTACACTCATTCATGCTCATGTGCACACACCCACAAAACTCTCATGCAGTACATAAGCATCCCCGCGCATGTGTGCACACAAGCGCAGCTACCATGACACACTCCCACCCATTTATGTGTGCAGACACACGCATACAAACACACACATCCTGAACATGAAGCAGTTCTGCATGTGACTGCTGCACATTCAATCCTCCCAACAAATCGATGAGGAAGCCACTATTGTTGTCCCTATTTTCCAGAAACGGAGACTGAGGAATTAAGGAAATTACACCCTAGTGACATAGGCCTAACTGAAATCCAGTACTAGGAGCACACTCTTAGCTTCTACTTGATACCACCCCTTTACAAAAGGCGAGGTTCTAAGATTCAGATCACTACAGAATTCTGTCTCATAAAGGTCCTGTTCCAGAGAAAACTGAGTCAAAACTCACACTTAAGATCTTGATTTCTATGTACAACTCATGATCAGAGTAGCTCCCTTGAGGGAAACAGTTTCCTGACAATCTTTTTAGTTTCTCTTCCTCCTCAACTTTAAGTCTGGCTGACTGTCCTACACATGACAGTCTTTAGCAAAAATGTTAATGAAATTCAGCTTCTTCCCACACTCACTTAACACAGAGCAAATAGACAAATATCCATAGAAAAGACTGGAAACTTTCACTTAAGAGTTTAGACCTGAGCAATCAAGGCATACAAAGAAACACGGAAGTTTCAGATCGCACTACCCACAGGGAGTCAGGATAACTGTCAAGGCTCACCTTCTTCCAAGAAATACCACCAAGCCAGAACCTCATAGAACCAGAGCTCTGGAATCACCCTAAAGCACCACTACCCAGGAAGTTTTATAGCTGCCGATCGCTTTGGAGATGTCTTATGCAATAAACACCAGAGAGCCCTGTGGTTTAAGGTGGTAAAGTCCAAGCTGCGAAATCTGATGGTCGTGGCTCAACTCTGAGTTCTCCCATTTACAGTCATGTAATCTCTGAGTATGGGACTCAGCTTCTTTGAACTCTTGTATTCTCATCTGAAAATGTGAATATTCAAACCTACCTAACTGTAATAGGAAAGATATCAAGCAACAGAATCTGATGAGCTTAAACAGTGGCAGTGGCCATGGTCATTGATGCTATCCTGTTAATATTTATTTTTCTTTTCTTTTCTTTTCTTTTTTTTTTTTTTTTTTTGGACTGGGAGTCGAACTCACAACCTCATGTTTACCCCGAAGTCCTTAAGCCACTGAACTAAATCACCCACCCTTGTCGTGTTAATATAGATCAGAATTCCTAATGACTGCAGAATGGTAAATGAACCACATTTACGTAACAAGTCAGAAGCAAATCACATCTGTCCTCAAGCTTTCATATGCATCAACTTTAAATCTAAACTAAAACAGTTGACAGCCAGCCATGTGACTAGAGAATCAGTTGCAGTTAACTGAGAAACCACTGCCCTGCCATCTCCCATCACTGAGGCAGACCTTACCCGCTGGTTGAAGTTGCGGTTCAAAGCCACACTCAGCAGATCAGTGGCATATTTGGAGGAGCTGTAGGGTTCCTGGCCTTTGCTGTGCTGCATGTCCTCAAGGCTGAAATTAGACCTCTTTGCATTGCGAGATGAGGTCCAGATGAGCTGAGATGGATTATCACTGTGACAGAGGAGAGGTTCCAGTTCCCGAATCTGAATGGATAAAGAAAAAGAACAAAAAAGTCTTATCAGCTGTGGGCATAGACAATAACAATTTTGAATCTATTATACATGAATACTAGAATGGAACAGTTAGTTAAGTAAATGGATCAAAGATGGTGGGAGCCATTTTTGTCATCGTTGGAGGGAGACATCATAGATAATCAAGAGGGAAGCCAAAATGATCTCAACAGTAATGAACAGAATTAGAAATATCAATATTGACTTATGTCGAGCCTAACAGATATGGATTAGCTGTGTGTAAAATATTTAGAGATATACATAAACCCATGAATTAGTATGTACCTATTTTACTCCTTGGTCTATTATCTACAAAGATCTAGAAACAACTGACATCTTAATAGTAATAAACACCAGGACTCTCTAATAAAACGAATGCACTGGTTGATTGACTGGATCATTTTAAGAAGTTTGGAAGCTTATCTAAACTGGCTTAGCAGCTCTACATCCTCGAGTGTAGAGGACACACCCTAGGGCGGTTTATCTCCTGAACAGTATAAAGGAAAAATGAGGAAGCGTGAACTTGCTTCTGTTCTTCAAAGGAGCTCCAGTCTTTGCCTTCTACTTAGATGTCATCTCAGACTCTTTGGATGTCAGCACAGACTCTTCGGCTTCTGCCTTGGATGCTTAAGCCTTCTGGTATAATCTCTTTGACTTCCACTGCAAACCCACTGGCCATCTCATATGGACTTGCACAGAACACTGCAGTGAACTCCAGAATTTGGACTAAAAACTGTGGTATGCAAACACCCTATGCACGCTTCCTCTTCCAATTCTGTGGGTGGTCATTTTATTTTATACATTTGTGTATCTTGTGTTATATCTGTTTCTGTAGTAAAATGCTGACACAAGGAACTAAATTTCTTTAGAGAAACTGCTCATTCTAGAATGGGTCCACAAATATACAAGACAAAACATCTGAAAGTACTCAAAATGAAAGCTAAAATAAGAAAACCGTAATGATGTGGGTAAGTCCAAGAGATAGAGGAAATAACTGAATGTGCCACTTGTAGTCATATTTATAATTTCAAAGTAGAAAAAGGTGTACAGTCATAATTTTATATAGATATAAGAACTAATTAAATAAAGAAATTTTGAAAATGGAGAAGGGGCAAGTCTCCCTTGCAGAAAAATTTCAAATAGTTTTGTAAATAACCCATTATGAGGAGATTCAGTATAATACCAAAAGTATAGGCCATGCACAGTCCCTTTATTCCAAAGATTGTAGTATGCAACAGGAGACAAGAAAAGTGTAACATCACAATGGAAAACCTGGGCGGTCCCCACTCAAGCAAGTTGATCAAAGTCAATGCCAACAATGATTAAGTTGTACTGACAGTTTCTGCTCCTGACATGACATGATGAGAACAGCACTTTACTTCTATGATGGTCTTCCAAAAAAAAAAAAAATACATTCTCCAGTCTAACCAGGAGAAAAACTCAGACAAATCCCAACTGAGGGACAATCTAAAAATACCTGAACCGAAATCCTAAAAACTGTCAAGTCACCAAAAACAAGGAAAGTCCGTGCAACTGTCATGACCAAGTGGGACTTGACTACTGAATACAGTGAGGTCTCCTAGATGGGATCCTAAAACTGAAAAACAATAGTAAGCCAAAAATTGAGAAATTGAATCAAGTATAGGCTTTAGTTAATAACAGTATTAAATGGTCACTATTAGATGATCATCTCATCAAAGGTACTATATGAATACAAAAGGCTAATATTTATAGGGTATGCAGGCACACTCTGTATTATCTTTGCAATGATTCTGTAAATCTAAAACTATTTAAAATAATAAGATGATTAAAGAAAAATTTACAAAGAAAACTTCTGAGGTGCTTTATGCTTGTGGTGAGTAAGTCAATTCAAGCAAGAAAACTCATAAATGTGACATTTAGAGAACTTGCACCTCAACTGTGACAACAATGCATTACATCTGGAGCTTCACAGAAATTATTTCTACTCTTTGCTCACTGTACATATTTATCAAACAGGGATGCCCATTTATATGGTGCACCTATATTTCTACCTGAACCAAAGGCCAAGTTGTGTTCCATAAAAAGTGACGAGTCTTAAACCTAATCTGAAGAGGCTAGAAGACATTACAAGCCTTTGTATCACTGTATTTGATACATAGGTTCCCAAACCTCTGCTTACATGCATACCCACAAAAAGATACACTCCAACACCTGTGATAATTGCCCTTGATATACAACTCTCCTCTGTCGGTTCCCTAAACCAGATTACTCAAATGTTTGATTTTCTGCACAACTTAACTTTTCAAATAGTAAACTGATCAAAACAAAACAAAAAAAAAAAGACTGCTAATAGCATTAATGAATCAATCCTCTATTACTACCATCTAATTTAACATTCAAAAAGAGCAAATAGCAAAGAATTATAAGAAAATATAGGAAATATTAGCTAACAGATTTTTATAAAAAGACTGTGTAAGAAGTAAACCATAGCCAGGCGTGGTGGCATATGTCTGCAATCTCAGCACTCATGAGGCTGAGGCAGGAGAATCACCATGAATTTGAGGCCACCCTGGGTTCCATAGTGAGCTTCAGGCAAGACCCAGTCTCAAAAAAAAAAAAAAAAAAAAACTCAACCCTACTTTATTCTAAATAAACATTTTAATGAACTTTCAGATTGAAAATATAATATAATATTACATATTATAAAAATCATACAGTATTAAAAGATACTAAGTAAAATATGAAAATTCCACTCAACCCCTAATCTCTGGTACTCTAATTCATCAAAAGCAATCAGTGTTCTCAATTTCATTTTTATCATTCTAAAAACAAAACAAAACAAAAAATATATATGTATGTCTATATATAAAAATATGTAATTTTCTGTTTATACAAATGAAAGCACACTACATATACTGTACCCCATTTCTTCTTCATAATAAAATACTGGAGGGTATCTCATATATGACATATTGTAAGTACACCTTGTAAATACAATATATCTATCTCAATGCTTTTTATGATTTCATTATATTCCAATGTTCCATATCTTAATTCACTATGAATATAGGCTAGTCTTCAAAAATGTCTAACTTTTAAGAGAAATTATAGATTCAATGTATGGTAATTATAAATACAAATGAGAGTCAGATACAGTTCTTTCAACACCAGGTGTTACGGTTTGTATCTAGATGTCCTTGCAAAGCCTCATTGGGTCATAGGTAGGGCTTTTTCAGAGGTGGCTGGATCTACAGTGTTTGATTGATTCATGGTGCATTGCTGGGTTAAGGATGCTAGGAATATAGATGTAAGGCCTATGTACTCTGAACAGATAAGACAAAAGGAGCAAAAAGATGCATTAATGCCCTTGCTTGTCTGGCTACCTTCTACTCACCTTGAACTGTTTCTCCTCAGTGCCAGCCAATTATGGACTGAAACTTCCACACACTGTGAGCTAAATAAACCTGTTCCCTTTTAAATTTGGGTGTTGTGCATTTTGTATCAGCCATGAGAAAAAATAACTAAGAAAGAATTTAGTGCCAGAGAAGTGAGGTCGATACTATGACTGATCTGACCGTATGTCTCAAGAGCCTTTGGAACTGGCTTGTGGGAAGAGGAATAGTTAGAAAAGGTTTGGAGATGTTGCCTGAAAAAGTAGGTTGGCTCCAGTTTAGCGTGTATTTGATGAGAGACTCTGGTCAGAGAACAGAGGACCAGAATACTGACAGACCAGACTCAGGCGGTTTCTGCTGGTAAGGACTGTATTGGCTGTTAGATTCCAGGTGATGTATTATGCCTTTGTAATAAGTTTGTCTGCATTTTGCACATGTCCAGAGACTTTACCTGAGACTAACATTAAGGGCAATCGATTAATTAATATTGCATGAAAAATTTCAAGGCAGTCTAAGGTTAAAGTCTTAGCATGGTTGCTTTGAGCCAGATTTATGTTGAGAATCAAGAACAAAGAGCCCACCAGAATGATTTAAAACATTTTGAGTTTGGCCAGAAAAGGAAGCTCCAGGAGAGCTGTGAACTACAAAGACTGAGCAGAGGAAATCTTGATTGATGAGAAGCAATGAGAGAATAGAAAAGATGGCCCTAGGACATCATAAGAAGCAACAGAACTCCACCTTTTGCAACCTCAAAATCACAGAAATGAAAGGATTTGCTTTGAGAATCCCATTGAACCATATTCCAGAATGGTGGTGACCCAGAGAATTTGTTCCTTGGGATTGGGTACAGAGCACTCAGTAATCTAGATACTCAACCCCTACTGCTAAGAGAGAAGAAAGCCTAGCCACTGCTTCTGGTGGTGGCAGCAGATATTGGCATCATCCATGTGGTGTTGGATTTTTCGAAACAAGCAGAATGCAAGAGCTGTGGAGTCAATAATGCTTCCATCCCCCATTTCACAAGGACTAGGAGGCCAGGCAGAATGCCCCTAAGAGGAGCTTGGGAAGCTGTGAATGACAAGGCAAAGGTGCAGTGGAGACCCCAGTAGTTTGAAGAACCCAGAACATGGAACATCTGAGAAAAACTGCAACGTGGGAGGAGAGCAAGCCCAAGAGAGAAGCCATGGGAACTACAACCACCAGCAGGGCCTTAGGAATTCACATCTTGCCACAGATTGCCTCGAATGCTGCACATGGAACTACAGGACTTAATGTTCGCCCTGCTAGACTTTGGACTGGCTTTCATGCCATTTGTTTGTATCCTTCTGTGTGTAATTTTTGGAAGAGAAGTGTCCAAGTTGTACCTTTGAACACTGGAAGTGTTTAACTTTCTCATCATTTTCACAGGGGCTTGTGACTAAGAATTTTCCTCAAATCTAAAAGGAGTCTCTGGACTTGGACTTTTAAGCAATGCTGAAACTGTTAGAACTTTGACAACTCTTGGAGAGGGACTAAATGCTGTTCTGCATAAAGGGATATGCACAAGTCTTTGGGGGTAGGGGCAGGTCAGGGGCTTGTATTTATGGCTTGTATTTAGATGTATCCCCAAAGTCTTATGCAGTCACAGGTTCGTAGGTGAGGCTTTTTCAGGCGTGGCTGGACCTCAGCCAGTGTATGATGCTGGAATTGATTCGTGGTACAAATGCTAGGCTCAAGGGCACTAGAATTAAGGTTATGCATGCTACCTTCCCTGAACAGCCTGCATAAAACAAAAGAGGCAGAAATTCTGTTAAAGCTCCTTTTGTTTTTACTACCTTGAGGGCACCATAAACTGTCTCCTCTATAATACCCCTCTGCCAACCCACCCTGCCTTTGGAGACATCCAAGTATGGAATGAAACTTCTACAATCTGAGAATTAAATAAACCTTTCGCCTTTTAACTTTAGATGTCAGATATTTTGCCTCAGCAATGAGAGAAAAGTAGGTAAGTACCAGAGATTATAAGCAATTGGCATTATGGCTAAGCAGTACTCATGCCATACATCCAGACTGTCCTATAAGAGTGAATCTGAGCCAAGGTTCACTAGCAGAACATGCTATATAAGCTACACATCTCACACTTACTTTTATATGCATATCTGTAATTCATAACACTCAAGTATGGAGGTCTAAGGAGTCAGAAATCATGAAAATGAAATACTAACTACCTATGACTGTTCACAGTGGCTTGCCTACTGCCCTATGCTATCTAATCCCAAGCCCATCCCCAAAAATTATTGCAAACAGAACAGGTATCCTTCTCCTCAGTTCTGTGTGTTGTTTCTGAAGGGATCTGTTTCTCCACTTTCTCTCTATTGTCTAGAGTTGATATAAAAATAAAAAATACTATATTGATTTACTACTGTAAGAAAATCACATTTTCAGAGTCAGATTACCACTGTATTTAAATATTCAAGGGATTAATGCTAACCATAAACTAATAAGCCCTACTAGGTTTCCATGCAAGTCCTTAGGATCACAGCACTGAGCAGGGGTTTACTAAGCCCAAAGTTATTTTACCAGGATAAAGTGGCCAAAGACATTGGTCTCAAACACCTCCTGGAGCCCATCAGCTGTGATCTTGTCATGTTGGGTCAGCAGTCCTTCAGCTGTACAGAACATATGAATCACATTTCTGAAACAGCAGAAGACAATGGTATGACATTTTAAATATGGAAGATGCTCCCGACCAATCCCCTTGCACACAAAAACTGTATATTCCTTGATTCCATAGTGAAAGGAATAAAAATACCTATTTCCTAGACTCCATTACTGACAGAGTTAAATGAGATGCAAAATACTTTTATTCAAAGCAGCACATACACACTTTAGTTCACATTACCAAAAGGAAGCCAAGTCTCTCAAAACTCAATTGTTAACACTCTCCTCCAACTTTTTTTTCTCAAGGAACAATAGCTATACCAAGGCAAAAAGAAAGGTTTTGCTTGCACAGAGTGTGTTTAATTGCTGAGAAAAGTAAGCAGGTTGTTTTTTCACTGGAAATTCTTAGAGCACTGACAGACTATATGGTGTTTTGCTGTGAGGTCAACTTAGTAGGTCAAGACTAGTGGGTCTTATATATGTATATGTGTTTAAAAAAAAGAAAAATAAAATTATCAATGTAGTAAACAGCATGAATAAGTAAGCACAAGGAAGCATAAATATGACTCATTTCTTACTCAGGTGGGTAAACATTTCTGAAAGCCACCATTAAGGTACACTGACAATGTCTGAGGCTGTCATTAGTTCTCTGCATTCCCCTAAGGCTGGTCAGAGCACCTGACACATGGCTAGGAAATGCTTCCAATACAATTTCCTTAGGTATTCGATCTCCTCGAGAACTTCATCTAATTTAGGTAGGTTCTTGCTACAATACATACATTCAGGCAGACCAAAACCTGATACCCTGAAATAGCCAACCTGAACACTATCAGTGTAAGGTTCAACCCAGACATGACTCTCCCACTACCCACCCTGTCTGCCAGCAGAGGCATATTTTTTAGCTCAGCACCAGTGCTAATCTAAGCCAACACAGGATGTCTTAAAGGAGGTAAGATGGAACAAGGAATCTTGCAAACTCTTGGACATCTAAAAACACAGTCTTTCACATCAGATACCTCCAGCACTCTGCCTACTGGGCACAAAACATTCAGAGAACTTTAGACCACTGAAGTTTACTAAGATCTTTCCAGCTAATGTCCCTTTCCTTCCTTCAAGCTCTATAAAAAAGGCCTGCTTCCCTTTGTTCCCTAGATGGCCTTATCAGTCCTGTGTCCCTGTACCCTAAACTCACTATGCCTTGTCTCTTGCACATTAGCCTGTTGCATACTCTCTGTCTCACACTGTTCCTTACAGCAAGAACCATGACCTGTGGCGTGCCCCAATTTCCTTTCATGGTGTAGTCACTACCTTTCCTCCTTACGTTTTCATCCCTCCCAACTTCCTTATCTTTCATCCCTGAAACCTAATACAGGAAAGGCACAAGGAGACAGGGAAATGAACATCTTCCTTCAAGTTGGTTTATGTGAAAAATAAAAATTACCTTGAAAAGAGGCCAGAGAAAAGTGCCTTGATATTTAGCTTCGGATTAGGCATGATCCCTGCATTTAGATATATATAATCTAATCTCCGAAACCTGCAAGTAAAATATCAAGACAAGATTATTAGAATAAAGAATACAAAGACTGTGGACTTTGTGTCTAAAATACAAAAGGCTGGAGGACATAAAACATTTTCTGAATATTCATGGGTTATCATTTTTTTCTCAAGTTTTGTATTAGCTGCAGTAAATAGTTGTGTATCTTTTTTAAAATATTATTTTTGGACAGTGATTTCAATGGGCTTTAAAGTCTAATCATCTCTAATAAATAAATTCTTGCTTTGCCCTTCCCCATTAGTGCAGCAACCTTCCACTAAGCCTGCTGTCTTTCTGGCCTTACAAAGTTTTTTGTCCTTTTTTTTTCCCCCCTTTTTAAGATCATATCTTCCCTAGCTGACAAGCAAAATTTGCATATTGCAGGCCAGACCTCACCAGATTTATCAGTATTATATTCCAAATGTCAAGATCTATACAAAACAGAAGACCCACATGGAAACCATTCAGTGTTCACAGACAAGGTCTATGTCTCATAAAATGGTGAAAGCTCACTGTAACAGAATGAGATTATATAAACAGGATAGGATTAAGATATTGTTGGTAGGCTCTAGAATACTGTCATAAAATGGTGAAAGCTCACTGTAACAGAATGAGATTATATAAACAGGATAGGACTAAGATATTGTTGGTAGGCTCTAGAATACTGTCACGGAAGAACTGTGAAATACTGACCTGAGAAAGCCTTTTCACTTTTAAACCTACGTAAGTCTTAATCTAACTGTATCCCTTTTGAACTACATTTGAGGCAGGTAGAGCCTGTTTTCACGATACCAACAGGCATCATCCATGTTCAGAGTAACCCCTAGAATTCTATGTACCACACGGTCTGTGTTTTCTGTTCAATCCAGGGCAGGACCAGAGCTATACAAACTGGACCTTGAGTTACATGCAGTAGACAGTTCAGATCATACACAAGCATTTCTTGATTATCCTATAAATAATTAATAACCAAATAGCTCTAGTTACTAACCTACTAAAAATGCTGATACTGATATAATTAGCTCATTATGTAAATACCAAAAAGACAAAGGTTTCATCTACTATTGATGATTCCATTACCTAATTTGCAAACTTCTTTTTTTTCTTTTGTCTTTTTGAGACAGGTTTTCACTATGCAGTCAGGCTGGCCTTGAACTCACTCTGTAGCCTAACCTGGTCTCAAACTTATAGCAATCTTTTTGCCTCCGCCTTTGTAAATGCTGAGATTACAGGCATGTGCCACAATGTCCAGTCAAAAACTTTTATCTAAGAATCTTAACCTATTTTGCTAGAAAGGAAGAAGAAATACTTAGCAAAGAGAGAACTGTACCAGAGCACCAAGTTAAGCTCTGACTTCAGTAGAGTATCCAGGACTTACTCCTCTCGAAGATGATATAGTTGATGGAGTTGTTTCACTCTGGGTAAAGCAGTGTAACTATTCCTCACATGTTTTCTATTGTATAAATCTAATAGAATAGAGCATTACAGATGGAAAGACCAAGTGTCCAGGGCAGCACTGATTACCACCTGGAAAAGATCCTTCTCAGGCTCTACTGGTTCTAATTTGCTTTAGGTCTGGCGTCTATGATACTCATTTGGGCCATTAAATGCAGCAAAGCTTTGACATAAGCAAGAGATCTATCTAGACATCTTCACATATTCCAAGTTTATAAACATCACCACCTCCACCGTTTCCTAAATCCAGGGCATAGTACTCATCCAGCTCACAGAGTGCTGCTTTGTGGATTAAACACATCCAACCTAAAATGTTGATGACCACAGTTGGAACGCACCTTCAGTGCTTCCTTCTGTCCCATAGCCTCATGTCATTAAATTTGTCTAAATTACTAAATAGCTCACAAATGTACACTACTAGATTTGTGATAAATACCAAATAGCTCAGATTTTTGGAAGTAGTTGAGAATAGTACATATTACAAATGTTAAAACTTTTAAGTCTCAAAAGTCAACCATATCTAAATGGCCTACTAGGAACTGAGGATGATGCTTCCTTCTTGGCAAAAAGAGAAAAAATAATGAAATCTATACAACACACACAAGACAGCGGCTGGCTAGAAAGGTGTGGGAAAAGAATGCCTAAAAACTTTCCTCCTGACTATTTTTTTAACTCTATAAAGATACTGAATGTGCAGTTTTAGAGGCTTAAGAGACTCTGTAAGTTATGGAGATACAGAATATATCACAGAGATGTGGCAGAAAACTCTCGGTGCTCAGCAGCAGAGGTGAAAGAAACCACATTCACAAATGCCTAAGATCACACTGAAAAGAATGGGACGACAAAAAACACAGATATTGTTCTGTAACTTTGTGTATTTGGAAGAGGGAAATGCAATTGGATGCCCACTCATATAAATAAAATGCAAAGCATTATTCTCTAGCAAATGTCTTCACCAAGAAAACTTTGTTTCTACCTTGTTTCATTGCTATAGTTGAAATAATATTTGAAAATTAACTATTTTGAATTGTCCTGGGGCTCAGCATGGCTTACTGCAGGGTTTACAACCTTTTTTGATCATAAATTCCTCTTAGAATTTAAAAAAAAAGAATGCTGCCACTCCAAAAAACAAAAGTGCACTGTGTATATATATATATATATGCAAGTTTGGTTTCACTTTCCAGTAATCATACATTCAAGGACTCTATTCTTTCATAGTCCAAATATTTGTCAAACACCTATTACATGCCAATTACCATAGAGATGTGAAAAAATTTTTACTAATCAGAGGAAAAAATAATTCTGAGGAAGAAGAGGAAAGAACTGAGTTCTACAAGTAACACAAACAAAACAAAGTCATATAATTTTATTACTCTTATTTATTACTCCTAATATTACCCCTATTTCTGTGTCACTTATTAAATGTTGGTACTTCCCCTGTCTTCTGCATGAATTTATATAGAAGAAAAATGTAAAAATGAATCTAAATATGGGAGTTGATTCATGTCATTACAATTGATCCTGTATCTGTATATTCATATGTTAATCTTTAAGGGACATACCGTTGCTTAAGTTCCTTGGCAGCACAGAACACTGAGTGCAGGTTGCTGACATCCACCTGCACAATGGTGATCTCTGCAGTGGAGTGAGAAGCCACAAGCGCAGCCCGGACAGCTTCTGCTTTGCTCACATTCCTGCATGCCAAGCACAGGTGAACCTCATCATCTTCGGCCAGCAACCTCTTGCAAAGGGCTAGACCAATGCCACTGAGAAAACAATTAGGGCACAGGACATACATTAATTGAGACAGTGCCAAATGAAGGTATTTCTTTCTTTGGTTCAGAAAACAAATTGTGTTAATTTGAGCTCCAATGAGAAACCCAAGCAGTGAAAATACTCAAACACTATTTAAAGAAGGAAGAAACCACCCCTCCAAACTCTCAGTCATTTGTTCAGGATGATGCATGGTTTGCCTCTTCCATTCCAAAACAATGCAATACATAGCTGGTCTTCATCTTGAACTTACTGTATTAATGATGAAAGGGATTCAATACCTCACCAGTATATGTTATTTTAGCTGTCTCTTGCATGTGTTACTTCAATGTCTCTGTTTCTCAACAACAAGGACTCTACTACCTGTTAATAGCATTGCTACTATTAAAAACAACAGGTATCCCCATTAAGGGAATGGATGAGTTTTTCTAAAATAAGCATCAGTACAGTAACAGTAGTTTCAAATCTCTCTTAACTACCACGATTAAATAACCAATAGGAACGGGGGAAAAAAACTCAGTATGGTTAAGCAGAACATAGGAATAAATATTGGATGTGAACCAAGAAATAACAGTGATAAGTACATCACTAAAAACTTTCAATGAATTACTTCAGAAAAAGCAATATAAAACTGCCCACTAGATGGGGACAGCAGTCAGACCAACTTTGCGCGCAGCAAAGAAAACCGGTATAACAAACTGTCTTCCAAGACTTTAAGCTAACTACAGATACTCAGAAACCTGCACCCAAAAGCCACAAGTGCATCAGTCACCCAAAGGCCCTGCCAAGAGAGCACCAAAGTAGATTCACGTTTATTCGTCCTCACTTCAGATAGCAGTGCACTAAAAACACTCTGCAACAGTACATGTCGCAAAATATGTGAAAGAAACAAACACAAATCAATTCTGATTTATTTCCACAGTTTCAACAGAAGCAGCACATCTGTGGACACAAATGAGAGTGCATACTGAAACTGTCCACTGAAGCATCCCTATATGGCTGGCTTGGTTCATATAGACGAGGTTAAGTAACTAAACCTGAACAGACATAAATAACATTTAACACCCGCACTGTCTAGAGAAACAAAGCAGACAATAAAGGAGGCTAGAGTCCAAGCTGAACAACCCTGGAATAATACTACTAGACTTGTTACTCTGCACTCGATTACGCATTAGGAAAAGATTAATTTTTTTCTATATGCTTCTGCATATGTTAACGCTGTGCTGGATGGAATGAAATCTTTTCCCACTGTCTTAATGCTCGTGGATGTTAACATTTAAACACCCAGTCTGTAAGACAGAGTGGTGAGAAGGCAGGTAGTCCTTACCACGTGGTAAGGACTAAACTCCAGGCACCGACAGGAAATACCGTAGAGTAGGTTAAAGACAGGTTAACAGTCTATTATAAATATAGAAACTAAGGGAAAGCATTAGAAACTTTTACATCAGTTAGACAGGGGAGGGATGGAGCCGCGTGGAAAGTTCCATTTTCCCTTGATAGGCTCATCGTTGCAGCGTGGGTCACGCACTGGTACTCAAGTTTTCCTTCCCACTGATAGTTTTCATTTCAAAGTACCAGCTTCTGAGCGCCTCTTGGGGCCCTAGGAAAGAACCAGGAAGGAACTCTGCCCAAGTCCCCACGGAGGCAAAGTTAAGGGCAGGCGCTGCTGGCGGCGTTATTATCTCTGCTCCCGCGAGTGCCTGAAACACAGCCTCGGCCATCCCATAGGCGGCCTCACCTGCTCGCCCCGGTGACCAAAACTACCTTCCGCATCTCCACGCACTCACACGCCCGGTAAAACAGGTGCTCACTCTAGCTTTCAGAAGCTCAAAATCCTGGCTCTCCCACCTTGCCTGGCCCACCACTACCCCAGCGAATCAGAGACAAGTCCCGCCCCGCCTCCTCTTGCGTCACGGACGCCGCCCTGAGCCTGCCAATCGCAATCTACCTTCCACTAGTGGCGCCAGGAACGTGTGAGGTAAAATAAGTCGAGGGGTGGAGTCAGGCGACGCAAAGGCCCTAGCCAATCAGAAAAGTGCATACCTCCTCGCCGGACTGTGGAACCTGACTCTTTAGGTGCCGGAGTGGTGGGCGTGGCTCTCGCGGAGACCGCAATCCCGACGCACAGTTAGGCATCCTGGTTTCTGTTCTGGATCTTATTTTTAGAACAAAGGGTTGGGTGTAGGAGCTAAAATTTTCCTCTGCTTTTTGGATGTGAAATCTGGCATCTGATCCTAGATCTCGTCCTTCTCTAAAGAATTCTCTTTGGGAAAATGAACGTTGGTTTCAATAAGAATTGTCTGTAAAAACATGTGAAGAGACGGGTTTTAAAGCAAGGAATGTGGCACAGAATTAGGTGATCTCAGAACTGAAGTGCTGAAAGTTTGCTGCAATCTAAGTCGGTGCCTCTCAAATTCTGAGCAGTAAGGCATTTTATTTTTTTGTCGTTGCTATTGTGTGTTTCGTTTTTGTTTTTGAACCATTCTAGATGGGTACTTGTGGCAAACGCACACACAAAAGATTACTGGAAAAATAGAAAGCAAAATGCAAACAAATTACAAACCCCAAATTTGTATTACAGTCAACACATATAAACGTGATCTAACTGATGTAAAAGTTTCTAATGCTTACTCTTAGTTTCTATATTTATAATAGACTGTTAACCAGTCTTGCACATTAATACATTGCACATTTATAATCTACTAAACATACTTTAATTTACTTAATGATTTCTTTCAAAGTTTTAATTTCTTAGTGAACAGCAATAAGAAATGATCAAGGTAATTATAAATGATCAAGGTAATTATACTGGTTATCTTAGAAGTTTGGATTGACACCAACTCTTTTAGTTATCTTTTATACTAGATAAAAAATTAAGAGAAATCTTTTATACGATTTAAAGAAAAAATCTGATTATTTTAGCATTCAGTTTCTAAGTAAGAATGTCTTATGATTGGGTGAAACCTGACTTCCTCATCTCATGGTTAGCATTGTAAAGAGCTACAGTTGACTGATATTTTCTAAAAGTCCAAGAATAAAATTAACCTCACTCCTAGCCAGGTGGCATGTGCCTATAACCCAAAAATTCTAGAAAGCTGTGGCAGGAGGACCACAAGTTTAAGCCCATTTTGGGCAATTTAGTGACAGCAAAACCTTGTCTCAAAAAAAAAACACAAAAAAGTGGCTGGGAGTATAGTTCATTGTAAAGGTCCAAGTTTCAATCCTCAGTACCAGAAAAGCAAAAAAAAAAAAAAAAAAAAAAAAAAAAAAATCAACCCCAATCTTGAGAATCTAAAAATCCTTTTAACATGTCCTAGCACCTAAAGGTGACATGCAAAAGGAGAGGGAGAGGAGAGTGAGTTGGTGGATGTCCCCAGGAAAATTCATTTCTGCATTGAAAGGAAAAGCATCTAGACATCAGAAGTTTTTGTCACCACAGCCTTGGGATGACAGCTGGTGTAGAATAGACATGAATTAAGGGAGGGCCAGAAGTCTTCAGAACAAGACCAGAGGGCTATGCCCTGTTGTGCCTTCCATCCTTGCTGAGCAAGGAGACTTCAGCCTGTTCCTTTTTTTCAACTGAAGTTGGTGCTTTCAAGGTGCTTTGACTGTTAAAAGATGAGGAGAATAGACCTGTTTTCAACACGTTTTTTTTTTAATCAGAGATGAGTGGACAGGATTATGCCCAATCCATAAATAAAATAGTAAAATGTCGTGTGTTGCTGATACAGCGGAAATCAGTGTGATGTAGAATACAAGGGCTACATAAGGGACTATTTGCAGATGTAAGTGTAGCGGTTACCTCAGTTCGTGAACTGAATTGGCTCCATGATTCTGGGGAACATGGCTGTGGTCGTGTTCATTACCCTATGTAGAGTCCAAAAATGGAAGCAAAATTTTGCCTACTGTTTCTGTTTGCAAACAGAAGCAATCATGAACTAAGATATTACTATATATCATTTCTTTATCAAATATAAAGTGAGGTTAAGATTATAGTTGGGAGTAAGTCAGTTTATTAGTCCTCAAAACAAAATATATAGTCTGTGTAGTGAATTAAATAAGAGTAGAGATAATCTCCATCCTTATTAACTATATATTGCATAGCATGTCTGTACACATAAATTCTTTTATGCAGCATGACAAAAATACTGCAAATATTTAATTTTTAAAAATGTGTTTCTGTAAAGCATACTGCCATTAATCCTTTTCACTTTGAACACACATAGCCTATCATTCTTGCCACTTTCTGAAACAGTTCCAGAAAGCTTTCATGAGTGTCTTCAGTTGCCCTGCGACAGGTGCCTTGATGTCCCGAATGGATTCACACATTTACCTTTCATGGATGTTTTCACTTGGGATGAGGCAAAAGCTACACAGTGCTAAATCTAATGGATAAGAGATCATAATACTTTATTTAACAGAAATTGGTATAAACATTTTTAATTGATTCAGGACATTGAGGCAACCATGAAAAAGACACTCATGAAAAAATAGTATGAAGAACTACTTCAAAAAGTGACAAAAATAATAGGATGGTAAGTGTATTTCAAGTGAGGGGGTTTTCTGAGGGAGTTTGGTGGTAATGTGTCTTTTGCTGTAGTAAATTTTATTTTAAATTTAAATCTTCCCACCACGTATATGTGTATATGTCATATACAGATAACATCAGTATATAATATACTGATATATTTATTTCATTCATCCTTACATTTAAACCCTGGCTATGGGTATTGACAATAGTATTGTACATTTCCAAAAACACCTCTGCTGTCCTTGTTCGGCTTTCCATCCTTGCTCCATTGCGCTTCCCACCACTCTGCTACCTGAATCCCTAAAACCAAACCAGAGACTTCAGAGTCTCTGCACAGTCATGTGTCCCCTGGTTCTTTTGCATTCCTGTCTATTCTCTTTACCTACCACAACCATTGCTGAAAGAAATGTATTATGTTACTCAGAAATCTGAGTTAATCTGAGTTAAAACATAAACTTCTTTGGGTAAAATGTGTTCTTTGGGGTGATTTCATCTTAATTTCTATTATGGAGACTATATTCTGGTTGTGCATTTTTTTCTTGTTTCGTACATGTATCGAGAGCCTGAGACAGACTGTGTTTAGATTTAGCAGGAATTTCTGTGTATCAATAAGACAACACTGCAATGGTTGCAAAAAGGATCCCTGTTTGTCTCTGGACTGTATTCCCCAAAACTGAGCCAAGTAATGTGGGCACATCTTTATAGTGTCAGAAATCAAAATATTTTTCTTCCAATAACAGTCAATGACTATGTTAGAAGCCTGTTTCAATAACCACTGTTTGATAGTCCCAAGAAACAGATGTTCACACCAAATATACCCGCAGCTGTGTCTTCACATCCCATCACTTCGCCAAAAATGATGTAAGGAGGAAAGGTAACAAAGCCGAGAAGGATCCATCAGTAGCATGATTCTTTAATCACTGTTATTTACAATTTATCATCTGACAGACTTACAGAGAATAAATAAAGAAAAGAAAATATACAATTGGTATCACGTTTCTTTTTCTAATACAGAAAAATTTTACATACTCTATTTTGGAATGTCTAGGATAGTTTTAAGCAGAAATTAAATCCATTTGCTGTTTGCCCCTTGACAACACACATGATCCTCCAAAGTCTGCAGGATAAAGCCCAGATATTTCATCATCAGAAAGCATACTACACAGCTGCATAAACTCAGTCCTCAAAAGGTGTCACCAGCAGACAGTAGGAGATGACTAAAATAGCATTAAAGTAAATAACTATTAAAAATAAGGTTAGATAGAAACTTAGTGTTTGCAGGAATCCTCGAAACTCAATTGTTTCAAAACCTCTCTTTAGGAAAATGGTTTTGCCCTGAAAGTAATTACATGTGTGTGTGTGTGTGTGTGTGTGTGTGTGTGTGTGTGTGTGTTCAAATTCTTCCTGGATACACAGTTATGATTATTTATACAGTTTCTGGACATACAGTTATGAACATGGGCTACCTTGAGATTCAGATCCCATTTCTATTGGGGACCTAAAGTTGTAAACAAGGTATCTACAGGTAAAAACTAAAACACTTATATCAAATGTGCTGGGTTTAGAGCCAGAGTCTGGTCTCTGTTTTTGATCTGATGCCCTATTAAGATAATCCGCAGTACTGTCTACTACAAAGAATGAACCATTCCCACTGATCAGGTTTATCATCACCAAGTATACAAATGGAAGATATACTGCACCTGGTACAAGTCTGGGCATTTTCTTCTTGTTTCAAAATAAACCATTTAAGTTAAAGCAGAGAAATTTTTCCTTAGATTCATTCTGCTAGATAACAACTTTTCCCTCCATCTTTTATTCATTCAAAAACAACAGTTACAAAATATTCAGCAAGAGTTCACAAATGTGCTCAGAAGTTTACAAGACACACTCCTGCAGTCTTGAATAGGGTGACTTAAAATTCACAGAACCGTAATTCACAGAACCAGAGTTTCAACATTTCCCCAGGTTAGGGCTGTGTTTGCATTTGATTTGGTCCAATGTGGCTGCTATTCCAATTAAAAGTATATATTTTAAAAAATGAAACTTTACTCTAAAAAAAAATGTTTTGTCACACATCAGAAATCTATAGCATTGTATTCTGTCCCTTCCACAACCTGTGTCTGGTGCTGCTGAATAAGTGCCACCCAACTCTTGGCCACAATACTGGTTCACTGTAGAGTACTTGCCTTTCCTTCCATGAAAGTCCCTCAGTAGGAAATGCAGAAACTACAGTACCTAGAATTTCCTTCTGTGTCTGGCTCTCTACTCAATAAACTATGGACTTACTACTTTTGATTACCTTCTACGTTTTGGATTATTTCAAATCTAAACAAACCTTAAAATTTATAACCAGGTTAGGCTTGATATTTCTCATTGATAACGGAACAGGTAACCCAGATCTTATCTTTCATGTTCCATCCAAACAAAGCCTAGTTATAAATCAGGGGGGAAAAAACTGCAACTATATTAACACTTGTGGAAAAACGTGATATCCAGGTAAAGTCTGTAATTTAGGTAGTGGTACACTAATGGCCATTTTCTGGTTTTGAAAATAGTTCAAAATGAGCTATTTTTTCCATAGTTTAAAATAGACCATAAAATATTATCAACAAGGAAAAACTAGATCGAGGGAAAGGCTGCTCTGTATTTTTTTAACTTCCTGTGAGTCTAAAATTATTTCAAGATAACAAGTTCCCAAAAAAGATATACAACTAAACCATTCTGCTGCCACCAAATATTGCAGCTAATTGGAGCAGGGAATACAAAATGCCAGAAATTGCATCTCCATTCACCATCCCTGCCTTTTCCCTTTCTAATTCAGCAGGTGGCAATGGAGTGACCAAGTGGCAGTGGCAGGCTTCTATTTGTTTAAAATGTGAAATCTCACTTCAAAAGGATTTCCCAGAGTGGATCAAGATTGACATAGTCCAGAAACATTAGGAACCTACCCTGCACTGCCAGAGGATAGAGAGGTCTGTATGAATTCGATGGAGGATCAAAGACTTCATAGTTATGTATTGTAGTTCTCTTCATTTTTGTCGTTGTGGGCAAAATAGATGTTGCTTTGTCTTAGTATACTTCCTTGGGACATCTTTCCTTTGCCTCATTCACACACTTCCTTTCTTCTGTTCTCCTTTACTCAAAACACATGCCCCACTCCATCGTGGCTTTCTTGCGGGAAGTCTGGATAGGACTGAAAGCAACGTTTCACAGGTGGCACGGGCCTTTTGTGCAGATATCACACCAGTTAGCCACGTCTAACTTACTGTTTCCGTGTCCACCTGTGCTCACTGAAAATGGCTTTAACAAAAGCAAGAGAAGGCAGCACAAAGATTCAAGCAGTATCTTAAACTCCCCACCTCTAGGTCTCCATGTCACCCCAATACTTGGAAAGCCAACCCAGTGCAGGTAAAAAAAATTGATTTCTTCTCATCAGAACTTGAGTCTAAAACACACAGGTACTCAACTGGCCTCTCTCACCCACTTCCTCTGAAATGAAAAAGTCATTCTTTGGGGATTGTGTGGTTTTGTATTAATGAAGGATATTCCCTCCCACACACACCTGTTTGGGTTTTTTTGGTATTTGGAATCAAACTCAGGACCTCGTGCTTGCCAGGCAGGTGCTGTGCCCCTGAACCATATCCCAGGCTGGATATGCCCTTCCTTAAAACTCAAAAACAAACAAAAACCTTCCATTCCATATACTGCACCTGACTTTTCATTTTTGAATACTTCTTACAGTCTCTATCACCCTGCATTTCTTCTTTCACCATTCACATTTTATCTCCGAGTCACTTACTTTTTCTAGCTTCCATCGGGTCTCCCTTCAGAGATTTGCTCAGTGCTTCATCATGGAGTCCATCAGCTCCCGGTCGCTGGTTTCCACCTTGCTTACCCTTGACTGTCTTCCCCACCTCTTCCCTTCCCGAGCATTCTCACCACCTCGCCTCATGCCTCGCCTCGCCTTTCCGGCCCTCTCCAGCCTCCCAGTCTACACATACACACATTCACATGTCCACTTTTCTTTTTGTTTTTGTTGTTTTTGTTTTGCTCCCCACTTACACAAAACTTTCTTTGTTACATACCCTTGAACATCCTTGAGTGATTTTTTTTCACACCTTAAAACCACAAGCTCCCTTTGGGCATTTCTTTTCCTGCCTGGTCACACAAGAGACATATGTGTCAACATTTGCATCTAGCCGCCCACATATGGATCAGCAGATGCACAAATTTGGATCTGACAATCCCAAAACACATGGTGACATGCAGTGATTCCTATATACCATGAAGAGGATAATTTACTGCAAAGATGACCAAACTCCATAGTTTCTCATCCATTTACCTATCTTCTTTTCCAAACAAATCCTAGTTCCATACCCTTAATTTCAATTTGAGCTACTTTTTAATTCTACATACTAAGACTACCACTTACTCTGTTGAGTCGCTCAGAGTTGTGCTGCTAAAGTCTGAGAATGATTTATTAGAAGGTAAGCCTGTGTTTATAATATAAACATCTCAATGGCAGAAGGCAATACCTTATTTATGCCCAAAAGGATACTTGTATATGACAATACATATTTCTGAGCCATCTAAAACAAAGTATTTCTGTGACTCAAAGTCAGGGAAATACAGATATTCTATTTCAATTTATATAATTTGAAAATATGAGATCATTCAATACAATGAGTTGGAACACAACCCTAAAAAGTAAAACCCTGGAGCAATGTTAGACAAAGGAAGATAAAATGATACTGTTTTCTCTTGCTGCCTAAGAACTCATGACATGGTCTGGATGTAACCTTTCCTGAGGCCTAAAGGATAAAGGAGAACAGCTCACAGGTCTTGTTTTCAAGTCCTTCTAATTCTAAGGAAGCTAACAGATTGAAATTAGAGTGAACCAGTTTTGTAAGCGTACATATTTGAACTTTAACGTAGTAAATGAGATAATGTATATGTTAACACCTGGTAACTACACAGCAATATACAAATGAAAGTGTCAGAATTAGTACCATTATACTCCCTGTGACCTTTTTTACTGGCCCTAATTTTCAAAGCAGACAATAACAAGATTGCTAAATCCATATGAGTTTTCCAGCAAACACTGAACATATCAGAACTAGAAGAGACTATAAGACCATCCAATTCAATTTTCTTAATTTACAGATAAGCAAACAAAATTCAGAGAAATAAAGTGACTTGCCCAAGATGGTACACTTGCTTCAGTTCAAAAAGAGGATCAAAGTTCTCAAAGTGATGCTCTCTCCTCTCAATCACTGATTTCTCCAGTTAATCCTGGAAGAAACTATAAAGTACAGAATCATGGGATTCCCATGAAGGACATGTGTTGGCTACAGTCAGAACAGGATCTGCAAAATGAGACTCGGGGATTTAGATTTATGCTAAGGCTGAATAGGGCAGCACTCAAATTCTCAAGAGCGTGGAGAAGGTGAAATGGGCAAGCCGTAGAAGCAGACCTGAGGAAGCAAGATAATTTCTTTGGGAGAATTATCTGTAATATTTCCTGGTTTTTCCTCAATGGAAATTAAGAGTCCCCTTTTCCAGCTTTCCATAGAATCTGCCGATTCATGGGGGATCAAAGCTCAGATTCTGCTGTAAAGAGACTTCTACTCAACACTGCATTCATTTCCATGAATTGTGAGACCAGAGCCTCATGATTTTCTGCTGGTCACTTCATACCATAAGCAAGAGCATATACACTATGCATAGCAGTGGATGCTCATGGTGTACCATGCTAAAATCAAAGAATTTTAGGGTAAGAAAGACATTAAATATTTTCTCATACAGCCATCTGTCTTGTGTTTGAAAACCTCCATGTTTCTTGCATAATTTCTCAGCCTATACCTGACCCTTGTCAGTGACAAAGGACTCCCCATATCTGTGGCCAAGCCCATTTGTCCTTCAATGTTCAGACTCTGACGATGTCTTCCCTATGAAGATTTCCTGTAGCTTCCTTTTATTGGTCCTACATCAACCTTTTGGGGACACTCAGAGCAGATCCTACTTCCTGCTATACATGGCCATTGGATATTTATGCCTGAGAAGTTCAACTCCCAGTGCATGTATCCCTCAGGTTTCATCCATTAAAATTGATAGATTTGAGCAAGAAGGGCCAAGGGACCTCCTATCAACCTACCGAAAACAATCAGGAGTTGCTGATTTAAAAAATCAGAATTTCATTAAAATATATACTTGAAAATATCATAACAAGACAAAAAAGATCCTCACAAATGAATAATAAGCATATACCTGTTAACTATCCTCTGTAGAGTTCCCTTCCTATGTCTAGTAGCTATTCAAGAATTCTTCCATTCAGGAATTGTAATTACAGTTCTGTTTCCTACAACCTTGCAACCTTGCAACAATCTTTCCTATCTACATCTCTGCAGTTTCACAACCAAACTTCAACTCTGAACCTGCCCGTAATGAGGAAAGTAGCCATTCCAAGAACCTAAGACTCTTCAAGAATGTACCATATGCTTTGACAGGAAAGGAAAAACAGGGTGCAGTGTGTCCAGAGACCAAATCAGAAAACCATATTTGATTAGTTGTTCCATGCTGAGTCCACAGATTCTCCATGGCTACCAAGTTCTTTCCTTATGCCTCATCTCATGTTTTCCAAGATACTAGCATACTTCAAGCTTTCCTTTCTGAAGATACTTTATAAAAGGTGACATAGAAAAAATATTGTCAAATCTGCACATTTATAAACATAAGCCTATTTAACCTTTATAAATTACCTGAATTTTCTAGCCTTTGCTAACTAACACTTGTTATATCAAGTAAAAGTTTTACTATATTTTATTTATCCTAAACTTTTTTTTCTTTTTTAGTTCTTTAATGTAAAAAAAAAGTATATATGAGTCAGTGATATGGAGTGGGGAAGTAGAGTCAGGGGAGAGGGAGAGAGCGCACACAAAGCAAACAAGCCTCTGTCCTTCAGGTCCACCAAGTGTCCAGGAGAGTGGCTTAGTGTCCATGGATGAGTGGTAGGTCTTGTGAGGACTCGGGCCATCGGGACATTGGCAGGCACTGACAGCATCACCCGTTGGCTTGCTGAAGGAGCAGAAGGTGGATTTCTTGGAACGACGGGCGGTGTTTGGTGTCTCTTCGCCAGCAGCTCAGCATCAGCTTATACACAGAGTCAGGGCAAATGGCTGGTTGAGGGAGGTAAGTCTTTGGAAACAGAATGTTAAAAAGAAAAAAATATTAAGAGAAAGAAGAAGACTGTGTCATTGCTCAATTTTTCCCCTCTCTGTGTTCTTAGACTTGATTAGTGCCATGGGTGTCATGTCCGTTCTTCTTATTCGCAGGAGTTCTAACTCACAACCACCCCTTCTCTAGTTGTCTGGAGTAGAGCATTATTTTGGCTCCTGCCTTCTTATAAAAGGTGAAATTGAAGAAAAAATGGAGCACATATTCTATAGAAGATCATATTTGATCTCCCTGTATGAAGGTTTGTCTTGGTTGAACCAGTCATGGCAGACATAGAAACTTTCTATGTTCTACTTCAGTTTCTTGATTGACATAAAATCTTAGATGCAGAAACTAGGATGCATAATGTAGCCATGTAATTCCTCACCATAACGTTCTCTGTGCTTCTCCTCCCCTGCACTGGCCCCATGTAGGACAGATTAGCCCTCTGCTTTTTTTTTTTTTTTTTGTATGGGAATTGAACTGACGCCCCTCACATTTGTCAGGTAGGCACTTATGCGACTGAGTTAAGTCCCCGACCCTTAGCTTTGTGCCTTTTAACATACACCAGGTCAGTGCCTTTACCCCATCTCTAGTCCTGGTCTGAATTACAGTTTAAGATTCTACTCTGAAATTCCAATTATAGATTATTTCAAATAAGATAGTACTCTGGGGCCAGCGATTTAGCTTAGCAGCATAAGCACCTGCCTGACAAGTGTGAGGTCATGAGTTTGTTCTCTGGTACCAAAAAAAAGATACTATTCTGTTGACTCCCAGATCACTTTTTTGTGCCTATGATCTATTGCTGCCCCCCTGTTATACATGTTTTTTTTTTATATCTTGGTACAGAAGATTAGAATATTAAATATGGTATTACATTAGATCCTGTCCTGGCTCCACCCCTAGGCCAGTGTAGCACTCACACCCCCAATGCTTAAATTTTAAAAATTGATTACTGTAAAAGATACACTGCCATTTTTATCCTGCTGCTCAAAATACTACCCTTTACTCCACTTATCTCATTATTCTTGCCATTTTCTGCAGAAGTTCTGTAAATTCTTTTTTGTGATTGTCATTAGTTGCATTGTTGTGGCTGCTGCAATGTTCTAAATTGATTCAAAATGTTTACCTTTCATGGTCATTTTAACTTGGAGAAGAGCCAGAGGTTGTGCAGTGTCAGATCTGGCCAACAAGGTGGCTTAAATCATACCAGGATGTTTTTATAAGCCTTGTCTTTTAGTTAAATAGCACACAGCACCAGCATTCATGTTTTTTTAATCACACCTCATGAAAACACTCATGAAAGGGGGCCTCCAGAAGTGCTTCAGAAAGTGCCCAGAAGAATGGGTAAGTGTGTTCAAAGTGAGGATGGGGGTACTTGGAGGAGGGTTAATGGAACTGTCTTTCATTGTAATAAAATTTTTAAATTAAATCAGTCTCTGTACATTCTTATCTCACCTCACAATGACATATTCCTGAACCATAACTAAATTTCTCACCTATCATTGCCTTTGCTGAGTCCAGCATCTGTGGCTGATTAATCATTAACCTGCTTCTGCTGCCCTGCCTCCCCCTCCAGTAACACCAGCCTACATCATGCATCAGAGAAGCTAGGATTTACCTAGCATCTGCTTTTTTCCTGTACCCATCAGCTCTACATTCACAGGCAAATCATGACTTTTTTGGACCCTCAAGTTAGGTCTGACAAGCGTTCACTCAGCACGTTTCAGGATACTATGGCACTAAAATACCAAACATTCAAAAAGAAATATTATCAATATAAATAAAGTACAGACTAATTGATATTCACATATTACTGATGGAATTTAAAACTGCCAAGCCCTTTTGAGATGGTTGTTAAATAATTTAAAAAACATATATGCACTTTTAGTCAACAGATATCAATAAAATAGAAATAATAACTTAAATTATTAGTTGCCCTTTTTCAAGTCTTATAAGACTTGAAAACCTGGCACATAATTGAAGCTGTTTCATAATAATTAATATTACATCTATAGAATTTTGTTTGCCTTTTTAACATCACACAAATAAGCTTTCAAGATTGCATTTGATGTTTTGGTTATTTAATTCCATTTAGACCATAAGCCTGTAAGAAAAATGCCACCTGGGAATTATTCACATCTTAATATAAAACTGAAAGGAAGGATGTCAAGTACGTTTTTAGATTATTGAAATTTTTGATTTCTTAAATCCTTTGTCTTCAACTGAAAACACCCAGACTTATTTAAAGACTTACTTAAAATACCCAGATTTATTTAAGCTAGGGATACTAAGTGTAAAAATCTTTCTGGGTTCTACGGTACTGAGATTTCTTCTTCTGCATCATATCTGCTGTGTTCAATAGGTAAACAATGCCATTTGAAAATGAGTTGGCTAACACTGGTTCAGGCTAGTCACCACAGAATCCATTTAACCATTGATAGTGTTGAGAAATTACTGTTCCTGCATTCCAAGGATAAACTTTTAAAATTTGAATATTGAATTTAAATAATAAAATTAGACTGGGGACATAGCTCAGCAGCATAAATGCCTACCTGGCAAGCACAAGGTCGTGAGTTGGATTCCCAGTACCAAAATAATAATAATAATAATAATAATAACAAAGTTAATAGCAGTTACATTAAGCAAAATGTAATAAAATACAAATGTAATTAATCATTTTTCGTATTTTAAATTGAGCAGCACTATGGTTATAAATGAGAATTTTATTTAGCACCTAAAGGTAAGATTGGCTTTGGAATGGCTTCAGTCAAATGTATGACTTTACTATTTGACAATCATCAGTCATAATGTGTATTTGGTGTACCACTAGCATCTGGAGAAGAAAGAAATCAATGGACTTGTTTTAAAAAGTTATCTAGAACTGAGAAAGATAAAATCGTGGAGATCATTAAAGGTAAAATTTCTGTCAACTGACAAACAGTGTTTTCTTATGAAATTGAAAAATATAACACCAATCATTAACATGTAACACTTTAGCACTAAGTAAGAAAAACTATATAATATAATAAATGTGCTTTTTTTGTACCAGGGATTGAACTCATGACCTCACATTTGCCAGGCAGGCACTGTGCTACTTCCCCAGCCCTTAGAAGAAAGAAAATTTTTAAAGTAAAGTGAACATGAAAGGATAGGAGGGCATGCCTTACTTTGTTGAATGTTTGATAGTAAAATTTTGTTTTATATAATAAAGATTCTCTCTAGCATTTCAGTCACTGAATATATTGAGGAATACTGAAAGGCTTGCAATATTCCTACTTTTGCCTGTACTTCTAAGACACACTCAAATTTGGAGCATGGTGGGTAAGAATATTTTCTAATTGAGCACAACTATGGGTTCTCTCAAGATTCACTAGGATGCTGGGATGTATCAGTCCCAGAAATAAACTTGTTTTCTTGGTATGTTTGCTTATTTCATGAACACTGGGTTATTACAGAAAGCAACTGTATCACAATCAAAATAGGTAATTCACAACCCCTGCTACAAAAATCGCCAATACAATATCCAGACAAAATTGAGTCATAGGTTTCCGTTCTCATTTTCGCAGCATAGATTATGCATTGTTCTTGTCATTCTTTTATCATGTGTTTGTTTTGGTCTATTTAAACCACAGAGAACACACTCCTGCTATTATTAAATTCCTGCTGCTGGGGACCTAATCCAAGAGTATTCTGTAGCCAGGTCATTTTGAGGAAATGCAATGAACTAGTTACTACTGGTGAGTTCTAAACCTCAGATCTCACAGAAATGTTAAAAATTAAGCTAACCAAAAAAGGCTTACCTAAGAAGCCTAGGCATTGGGATTCCTTGTGATCTAAGGAACCCAGCTTTCCATGAGTCATTAGAAGCATCATTAAATTGGCCCAAAGGTGCCTTCCAGGAAAATGAAGTCCAGAATACACCTGTCCATTTCTGACCATACAAATCTAGAAATATTGCTACATTGTAAATGTTTTTCAGAATTTGGAATGGAATCGAAGGTCTTTGCACTGAGCTACATCCCCAGCCCTTTCCTTATTTTTAATTTGGGCGTAGTTTCACTGAGTTGCCCTGGCTAGTTTTAAACTTTGCAATCCTCCTGCCTCAACCTCCCAGAGTGCCTGGATTACAGACATGTACCAATGCACCTTTAATGAATGCTAACAAATCCTATATTCTTTTTTACACATATACTTTTCAACCAGGAAGCCAAATCAATGCTCTAAATCAAGAAATAGAACTATTGTTCAAAAAGGTAAGATTTTGTTTCCTGCTACCTTTGTGTTGAGGAGAAACCTGACATGGCCTTTCTTGCTTTCCAAGAATCACTGGGTAGACACCACTGATAAAGCAGAATACATGACTGCCTGGGGATGACTTTGGTCTTTCACGTAATCTGAACCATAGTGACAAAAGACTGTGATCAGATAGCCCATCATTCAGCTCGGGTCTATCCCACTAAATTAGAACTTTCCTTTCTTCATCTTCTGGGAGGATCCAAATCCATTTCCAACCACCCCAGCAGTTCTTACCTGCCTCCCTTGGTCTCGAAAGAACTCTCCGGTATTCTCAATAACCTGTTCATCTGACAGCTGAGAATACGGCTGCTCTTGACAAAAAGTGAAAGTCTCCCACAGAGTCACCCCAAAGGCCCACACATCACTCGCTGTGGTGAATTTGCCCTGCACATAAGAAAAAGTAAAATTAGAATCCCTGTGCACAAGAAAAAGGTTATGTTCTCATAATCTAGAATGGATTGCCCTTTCCCTACCACCATCAAGCAATACTGAAACTGCCAAAATCTGGGTGGAGGATCTGGAAGTGACAATGTGAGGCCATGTCATGGGACATCCTCCTGTTTTCGGCTTAGTTCTGCTTTTGAAGATGAGACCCAAGAGCTTAAGGAAAGCTACCATAAACCATCAGACTTTCCAATGGAGTGTTAGTAAGTCGGCCTTGCTATCAGGTAGGCTTGCAAAGATGTCCTGAGAAGGTGAGAATGCAAAGTCAACTCTTTTTATGTTAGAAACAGAGAAACCTGATTTAAGCACCTAGTATAATCCCTTTGTAATCTGGGACTCTCATTTTCCAGTTCAGTGATAGTAACAATCTTAAAAAGATTTTAGCAAGCGATAGCAATCAGATTTAGATGTAATTAGCCTGCATTAAATACTGACACATTTTCTATTCAATAAAGACAATGACATTGGCAAATATATGAATTTAGCTAAAGAAAATGAGAAAGGAGAGTTTTACCCAATTACCTGGGTTAATAAGACCACTAACAATGCAAAAGCTGGAATTTGGAGCAAGGGTCTTTGAGTATCAGTCTAGTATTATATCTCTTAAAAATGCATAATACCTTTAGCTACAACAAAGTTTAGTTATTACATTTGAAATAGGTAACCTATAACAACTCACTATACAGATGGAAAAGATCATAATGAGGATTCTGTAACCTGGTATACAACAGCACCATTGTTAATCATTGGAAATTGGAAAGCACTTATATATCAAATTATAGGGACATTAATAAATTATAAGATTCGGCCACATAAAGAAATATTATGCAGCTATTAAATTGTATTTTAAATAATTCATTGGAAATGCCAATGATAAAATATTAAGTAAAAAGTAGAGACTATGTGGCATAGTATCATCTCAGTTACATGATATACATTTTACAGTAGAATATACACATAGCATTACATGCATAGGAAAAAAATTTTCGAAGGAAATAAACCAAAATATTAATAGTGGTTATCTTAGTGAAAAAGAATAAATAATACATACTTTTGTTTCAAAATTAACTTATGAATCCTATAAGAATATGAGCTGAAAATAAATAGCTTGTAAATGAACAAAACTAAAGTAACCTCAGGTCTCTCTTTGAAATGTTTCATAAAACAGAAGACAAAATTATACACACACACAACATTGTTGGAAGTAAAAGTTTAAGACTACTAATTGTTTAAATTGGCTAAAAGCCTGGAAAAATTAACACTGAAAAAACTCAGGTATGCCTGGTCAGGAATACACCTCCAAGAGAGACATCTGGAAAAATTTATCTGCTCATGATACAGAATACCAACAGTTGAACAAAAAGTATAAACTGAAAAATGATGATCTTAAAAAGTAAATGATAATAATACTTTAAAATGTGCACACAGGTTCAATAATTTAATGAGAAAATAGTTATGCAATTAATATAGGACAAAAATTATATAACATTTATTTATATGATAAAGTTTTAATATTCTAAATTAATTCAGACCAATCATTGGATGGAAAGGAAAGAAAAGACACTAAAGCCCTTATGCTTGATATTTTTTTCTGAATTTTCTACAGTGGATGCTATTTTCTTATCAGCAAGGATAGACAAGTGTTAAATAATAATTAGTACACAAATAAAGTTTCCTCAAGTGAGAGAAAATAATAAAGTGTATGAAACTGCCTCCTGCTGTCTCCAGTTGGGTCCCACTTGCTTTGTGAACTGCCTAAGTGTCAATGACCAGGGCTGACCTCACAAATATAGGGAACTCGCTCACCAGCAGGATGCTCTCCCAGGACATCCAGCGGATGGGGAGCACTGCCCGGCCCTGGATCCGGTAGTAGTCACCACTGTACAGGTTTCTGCTCATTCCAAAGTCAGCTATCTTGATGGTGTAGTTCCTACCCACTAGGCAGTTCCGTGTGGCCAAATCTCGGTGGACAAAATTAAGAGAGGAAAGGTACTTCATGCCAGAGGCAATCTGGGTAGCCATAAACTTCAGGTTGGCATAACTGAGGAAATAGACAAGGAGAATATATAAGAAAGGAGAGAGTAGCAGATAGAAACTGGAAGCCATGAAAGCCACACACGCACATTGATATCCATCAACCAGAGTTTAAAAGTGCAGCATCCTCTGTGTGTGTGTGTGTGTGTGTGCGTGTGTGTGTGTGTGTGTGTGTGTGTGTGTGTGTATGTGTGTTTATGTGACTGAGGCTTGAACCTAGCCCTGGGCTAGGATACATGCATAGTTAGTCCCTTTTTAAGAGTCTAAGTTGCCCAAACTGGGCTTGAGCCTCTTGCCTTAGCCCTCTAGAGTCCTGATATTACAGGCGTGCACCACCATGCCCAGCCCTTTCTATACACTTCATGAATCCTTTTGCATTCCCTGAAAGGAATGCTCCATTATCCTTGCACACTAGGCTTCCCCACCATCCAGAACAGTGATGGATTTTAAGGGTCACCACTTCTCATGTTTACAACCCAATTACTCTCATAACCACAAGGAAAAGCTAGAAGACCAAGCTGATTTTACCTGACAGTGGGTACGTTGCTGGAGCAGGAATTAGGGGGCTCATGGCGAGAAAGAAACTGATTGAGATCTCCATTCTCCATGTATTCTGTGATCATGCAGAGAGGGTCCTCAGTGATACACACAGCTAAGAGACGGATAATGTTTGGGTCCTTCAGCCGGGACATGATCTTTATCTCCTTAAGGAAATCATTCCTTTGGAGGACACAGACATAGATAAACCCAGAGGTTCCCAGAGTCAGAATCAAAAGGGAGCAGAATGCACTGCAACACCTATTCCTTCCCATTTCACTTAGACTTGTTTGCCTATGGATGAACTTTCAGAGAACAGATAAATCAGCACCTGAAAGTATCTCATTCTACTGCTCCTGGAATGGAATTGACCTTTACTTAACTACAGTGTCTTGAGAATGAGACTGATAACTTATCACTTTGGCATGCCTAGTATTTAACAAAAGGCCTGCCGCATGGAGATACTCAATCATTAATTTGTAATATTTGCTGAACCAAGTATATTCTTTAAAATAACTTTGCAAAATGAAACTTTCCACTGAAAATCATCTTGCATGCACTAGAGTATTTACATTTTAAAAGCCAAAAAAATCACTCTATTAATAAAGCAAAGAATGTTTGCTATCTATCCAACACTTCTTTCTTTTTTTTTTTTCGCTCTTGCATGCAGTAGAGTATTTACATTTTAAAAGCCAAAAAAATCACTCTATTAATAAAGCAAAGAATGTTTGCTACCTATCCAACACTTCTTTTTTCTTTCGCTCATTGGATTTACCTAATGTAGACTGCATCAGTAGTCACAACATGCATTTAGTAGCCTGTTCAGTTTCTACTTTATGACCCAAAGGTGGCTGTGTTTTGCATCAAGTCCGTATTCCCAGAACTACTGGAGCAGATGGGTTACAAGTGTCCCATGAGTTTTACAGTAATTCTATGCTAAACATCATACTGTGTCAATATAAATCCTTAGAATCAATTTAGTTCTGATTCAACATCTCTTCTCTTTCATGTTCCCTTTAACTCCAAATCAGGAGTTTCCATCGCTTGGAAGGACCTACAGTCTGGGGATCCATTGCTGCTAAACAAGGGTAAGAACAGCTAGAACACAGCAGATCCCACCAACCAAAACAATCAAAGGCTTTGTCATATCTGTGGCTTTTTCTCTTTGCTATTTTTTCTAATCAAGTGCTAAAATTAGCACAAAGGATGCTCCATCTTCCTATAGGATACAGCAAATGTCACTTTCACTCATAATAATACCCTTAAGACTGAAATTCTAGTTGTAATTTGAAAATCTCCAGAGTTCCATTCCCTCACCTTTCTCTCCACTCCACTCCCTGTCATTTTCAAGACTTTTAATGAAGCCTATCACCACTTTTGGAGTTTAACAACACCTTGGGGAATAGGAATAATGAACTTACTCTCACTATGAATATCAGTGAGACAAGATAATGCAAATGGGGAAATGCAGATGTTATCCAGATGTGCAGACTTCTCTGGGACACAAACAACCAGCTTTCAACTAGCATGCCTCTCTGGGTGAGGACTAAACTCACCATTACTGTAATGGAAAGGCTGTCAGACAACGGAGTGTAGCTGGACACTGCAATTTATGTAGTAAGGGATCCAAGAATTAATAGCCAGTTTGGAAAACTGCTAAAGGATTGTGGATCCTCTTGCTTTGAGGTCCATGGATACTTTTCCAAGTAGAAGTAGCTTCTCGTTTTGGAGGTTGCAGAACATAGAAGAAAAGGAGCATAAAAGAGAAAAACAGAGGATGAGAAAATAGAGAAGTGAGAAAAAGGAGAATGAAAAGGTTTAGCAGGAAAGATATGTGATTGCGAAGTCTGCCAAGAAGAGAATATGACATTCGGAGTACATCTGTATGTAATGACTGGGGAAGTACACAGCTGGACTGAGGAGTGCAGGGCTATGCAAAGGGAGTAGGAAGTAAATATGGCAAATGTAATAGAAAATGTACGTTGGAAAGGGATGGAGAAAAGTTGAGTGCTTCTGAGTTCATCAGAAAAGGAAAGAGTAAGAACAGCAATGTGAGGCTGTTTACAGATATTTCCATCTCAAAAGAGAAATATGCTTAGAAGTTTCCAGAAATATTTCTGATCCTAAAGATGAAATGAATAAAGGGAAATTTAAAATGCAGACCACAGACCTGGCATTCTTGTTGGCATCTGCTCGGAGCATTTTCACGGCCACCAGGACAGGCTGGTTGGCACTGACATCTAGGGCAAAATCTTTGTCTTTGAATTTTTCCATTCCCGCCACTTCACAGAGATGAACCTAGACAAAAGTCATCTAGTCTCAGCATCATCATTTCTCCTGCAGATGTCTCAGTACTCTTGCTGGGCATTTCCTGGAGATAAACTAACTCTTACAACTCAGGCAAAATAATCGGAAGACAATAATAAGATATGTACAACATATCTTTGATTACTGACACAATTTAAAGCAATAGTAAAGCACTCAGCTAATATATTACTTCCTTACAAAAGAAATAGTAACAGTATTTCAGTACCGCACAGCCCCACAATAAAGTATTATTCAACATAAATGTTTAAACTCTTGATTTGAGAGGAAGTAGTTATCTAATAATGCAAAACATAAAGCAATTCTCTAAAATAATCCCTCAGTGTAAGGTTTAGCACTGTGAACGTTCCTATATATTACAAATAGTATAATAAGAGTGAGTTTTCAACCCAGGGGATAGAATGAGTTAAAATAATGCCACAAACACATGTCATGGGCCCCTGTACCTCTTGCAGCTCTAGATCTACCCAGGTGGAGAATATTTGAGCCATACTTAACACCTTTGATATATTTTTTGCAACCATGCGTTATATTGTATTTGGAATTTGGGTGGTTCATGTTGAAGAGTTCCTCTTGCAACTGAAAATTCTGCTTTGAGTTCTCCAAAAGGCCATGTGACTGAAAGTTTAATATTGCATGCATCATCTGAGGACAATTTAGAGAGGACTCCTCCTTATCTCAGTTGGTGATTCATTCCCTAGTGGCTAATTCTGGGACCAGCAGCAGGGGTGAGGTTGTTTTTTTACCATTTTTCATATAATTCTCATTACAAAGACAAAAACAAAGTCACTATCAAGCAGCAGGGTGTTCCTGGACAATTGATTAAAGATGACCACATCGTGTGAGCCCCACCCCCTGAAACATATTGTAGACATTTTTTGAAAGTATTGAATGTTTTTCAGGCTCTCTAATGTCTAGGGATTTGCCTGCCTTAAAAACTCCTGTATAGAAGTCTTAGGCTTTTTACTGCTCCTGATGAGGTTGATCTAATGCTTGCCATCCAGAGAAGAGTGCAAAGAAAGATAAGTAGAGGAGACATTTGGGTGTACATTGACTTGAGGAAGGGATAATTTGCTGTACTGACCATTTTTATCCACCCATTTCCTTCAAGCTACGGAAGACTGGAGGCCACACAGAAAATCAACTCACCTCCCCAAACTGGCCTTCTCCCAGCTTCTCCTTAAATGTTAAAAATTTCCTGGGGAACTCTTCCACAGCCACATCTTTTCCTGAGAGCAGGTCCATGGTGACAGCAGGCACTGAGTAGGTGTTGCCTCCGGTCACTCCCTGGAGGTTCACAATGTCGGCCTCAGCATAGTGGGGCACTCCCTCAGGTCCACTGGGCTGGACTGGTTTCACGACACCACTGCAACCTGGAGGACAAGGGCCATGGGATATCTTTGGAGGTCCAATCCAAGGGACATCTTTGGAGATCTTTTTAAGAAAGAAACTCTGAGGGGAGGACTAGAACCTGCCTCCATGGCAACCTAACTTCCTCATGATGGTCTTGTTCCCTGAGACTCTTCTTCGAGGCCTTCGAATGTAGGCACCATTGCATTCCTTATTCTTGTCTCATGGTCATGATCATTAACAGTGTCCTTGTCTCATCCTGTGGAATTGCATTGCGAAGCTATGGGAAGCCTCATGCTCTAGCACAATGAGAGTATGAAAGAGGGAAGATTTGTCAAATCATATGCTCTTGCTTTTAGAACACTGTCATTGGTTTAAAAGCCAATTAAATTTATACCATCTTGTGTAAGCCATACCCTAAATTTTAAAAAAATTCAATTATAATACTTTAGAAAATAGGTAAATTACTTCAGTTCAATCTAGAAAATAAGTTAGTTTATACTCATTAGTCTTGGTGCCTCTGTGAAAGCCTGTGAATTCAGTGGGCTCATTCAATGTTTTCTGTCTATTCAGTGACAGAACAGATATCAGTTCCTGTCTTCCTTCTAGAAGATTCCTTCCCACTGGTTCCCTGAAAATCCTGTGTTCTGTCATCCTCCATATCTGGTTCCGCCTGGATTCCTCTCCTCTGAGCACCACAAGTGCTCTTCTATTGACGTGGGTCATTCTTAGGTGATGACCTTCTGGAAAAGCTGCTCTGAGCCTCAGGGATGATCCCAGCATCCATTCTGATGTCACTCTGCACTTTTTCAAAGACACTGGGATTTGATTCATCTGGCAGTGTTTATACTTTACTTAATGCTTTTATTGAAAAAGGCAAAAAATATTTATTTTCATAATACTGTTTTGTGTTACCTTAACAAATGTTTACCAAAGATAAGTTAACAAAAAATAGATTACTCAATGATCCAGATGGCTGCAAAACTGAAAATTTCAGAATGCCTCTAGCTTCATTTATCTTCTTTTTCTCCTTATTAAACTCCAGTCCAGAATTCACCCACAGTGAAGCCTAGTGTTGGCTGAGTAGCTGAGCAGAGCCCTCTTGTCTTCTATATGAAATGACCAAGTTAGTTTAATTAGACTGAGTTTTTCTGGTGCTAACATCCCTGTAAACTTTTATCTTTTTTTTCACCTTCTGACATGGAGGTTCCTTCAATAGCAAAGGAGAGATCTCAACTCTAGAAGGAGTATGTGAATTACTCAGAAAGCTAGCATAGACCATAAAAGGACTTGGTTGCCTAGGAGCAAAAGTGTTACCTTACCTACTGTGTGTCTAGGCTTTTCCCTCGTCCTCTGCCTATTATTTCATTCTCACCTGATTCCTCTTCCCCTGGAGCAAATTCTGGGAGTTTTCGTATCAATCTAGATGGCTCCTGGTAGTCAGGGCGAAGTGGGAAGATCCGATCATAAGTCGAGTTGGACTCCTGTTCACTTGGTGATGAGGAGCGGTTATTATTGAACATGCTGGACTCGCTTGGCAGGGAAAGGCTGACTGTCATTTCATCATCCAGCATCCTCCGGGAGGCCTGGGAGAAATGAGACTGTATTGGTATAAAGAGGACCAGTTCCTCCCGTTCTGAAATGCAGCCCTTCCATCCAGTTTTCTCCATATAAGCCTCAGAAACACTATAAGTGACAGGAGTACAGTCTGGCTCCACAATAGCTTTTGTTGTAGAAACTCAAAAACCCTTTTTTTTTTTCAAGGCAGAATTTGAGCCCCTTGTTTCTGTACCGTTAACTGTCATTAAACATTTCTAAGCATTATTTATACAATCTTACGGGAGCCTATCAGTAAGCAAAGATCTTATGAATCTTATAGAGCTTTCTGTGTTTTTTTTTTTTTGATTAATAGGTTTTTTTGACTTACTCCTTAATTGCTTAGATTTTGGGTCAACATGAGTTAAAATATTCAAGTTCAATAACAGTGCTATTACATGATGAATTAATAGTTCACCTGATTACCCTAGCACTGCAAATTAGGATAACCATCCCCAACTGGCCATAGATTTTTGTGAGCCAAAAGTATAATGGCAAAAAAATGAAACAAGGGAAAGTCTTAATGTTGGAAAATATCAAGTCAAATTATATCTTTACAGGAAAACAACCCAGGTGGCTAATTCTTGTGGCTTACCAACTTAAAACACCTGCCTGTTCCAGAAAAAAAAGAATTCTAGCATCTAAATGTATATAATTATATAGATTTAAGCATGCAAAATTCTCCATGCCAACAAACATACTTTGGGTGCTTAATGGAGAAACAGAGAGAAATACAGGTGCTTACTTTCTCCACCAGACTAAAAGGTCTTTTCTTACAGTAAGAACCTCACATGAAACCCACATGTCATAGGTATTCAATAAATGTGGGTTGAATTTCCCAAAGGATTGATGCTGAGGATGTATCAAGAGTGTCCTAAACATATACTACAGGCTATGGCATATGTTAAGAAAAGTCCTTGGGATGTATGTGTGTGATTAAAAGTTTCATACACACACACATTCATACACTTCTATTTCCAGGAAGAAATTATGAGTGTCATTTCAATGCATTTTGAGTTATCTTCTTGAGATCTATAATGTTTGGAAGAATTTCCTCAAAAAAATTAGATATTCAAGGGAACAAATTTTGTTCTTCCTTTTATCTGAGGGAAGGTCCCCATATCATCTCATTGATGTCTTGAAAATCAATCCAGTAGACCAACTCTTTGTGAATTCTGCCTTTCAGTTCTCACAGGCTATGTATGGACTTAAAGCTTTAAATTAGGCAACATTTCTTCAGACCAAGAGTAAAGGTCCTTGTGGGAAGCAAGGAGGTATTTCTTGTGAATATCCTTGTCTAAAAACTTTAAATCTCAACAATCTCAAGAACTTGAATGTGGAAAAGATCAGAAGGAACTTCAGGCTGCTTGTCTGGGTACTCCTCTCATTTGCTGGATGCGAGTCTCTTTTCTCCTGTCCAAAGAGTTTTAGACTCAAACCCATTTTCATGTTCCTCTTGCCCCTCTTCTGGATTATTCTCCATGCAAGGCTTCACTCTCCTCTGAGAGACCCATAAACACAGAGTTCACCCAGGCAAGGCCCCTCTTCATCCCCTTTGCCCTCTGTAGGTAGTTCAGAACCTCAAAGCTCAGAGTGTCCAGGACCTCCCTCAGCCCACATCCACCTAGAGGAACTCATTGCACAGGGAAATTGGGTATGGTCTAAGGTGGAAACATCACTGGTGGTAGTGGGTCCAAGAGAATCTGACTTTTGGCAGCAATGCCCATGAAGTTGTCACCTGACCTAAGAAGCCAAGAAAAGTCATTCATATTCTAATCGGTAAAATGCATAAATTTTGGGAGAAAGATGCCAACATATTCCTGTATTTACTAATGGAAAGTGTGTATATGACCTTGAACATCCCACAATTTCTCATCATACAAACAGTTTAATACTACTAAAAATTAATACATGAGAGAAAGTCTTTGAAGACTAGGTAAGTAAAGAAGATTATCCTGATCATTTGACCTAGAAAGAAAGAGAAGGGACTCAAAAGAAAACATAATTATAACCTTCAGATACACAAAGAAATGGATCGAATTATGAGGAAATTGACTTGGATATTAATGAGGCTCTCTCTGTCTCTGCCTCTTCTCTCTCTCTCTCTCTCTCTCTCTCTCTCTCTCTCTCTCTCTCTCTTCTCTCTGTCTCCTCTTTCTCTCTCTCTCTGCCTCTGTCTCTCTCCTCTCTCTCTCTCCTCTCCCTCTTTCTCTCTCCTGTCTTTCTCACTGTCCCTCCTTTCCTCCTTCCTTTCAAAAACAGCAAAAAATGGGTAAAAAGAGAAAGTTCACTAGTATTATCATGTGCTTTAGCTGAAGACAGATTATGAATCTTAAATGTGCATTAAATTACCTGTTAAATGAAAATATGCAGATATCTAAAACCTAGTGAATCAGAATCTTGATGGAAAATGTTCAAATTGAGGATCAAATCTTAAGAAGAGGCTGCTGACATTTCTAGACGATTCTAAAATCTTGATTCTAAAACTGAGAAAATTGACTTAGCAAATTCTTTTTCTGGCTTCACTCCTGGTTTTTTGGTAACCTCTTGTAAGTCTTTAGCAAACACATTCTTATAATCTGCCTCTTACTCTCAGAACAATAGCAGCTTAAGAAAAGGAGATGCAACTTCCTGTCTTTGCCCATTCTGTACCACCTCACCTTCTCCAGCATTTTCTGCCAGAACTGTCTCCACAGGATGATGACAATGATGGCAAGAAGGATGAAGATGATAGCGACCAAGCAGCCAATCAGGATCCGAGTGTTGCTATCATCAACTTTAAGCATTGGATCTGAGACCAGGAAGAGAAGGCAGAGAGTGTAATCATTATATGGGGCAAGTAAAAGCACGAGGCACTGGGTGGTGGAGAGCATGGTTATCCCATTTCCTTAAGATAATTCCAGAAGATGTAACATATCTCTGCTTATTCTTGATCTTGCCAGCATTTTGTTCTTTGCTCCTATATCCTATGGCCCTCTTTCATGAGATAGTAGCCTCCTTCTCTCCACATCTCAGACTATATAGGGAAGACTTTTTCCATTCTTCCCCAAATTTTGTCCCTATATTACCATGGCAACTCCATGCACAACAGGTGAGGAACTAGTTTCACTCCCCTCATTCTCTGAGAGCTAACGTAGCTGAGAGACAAGCAACCCAAAGTTCCCACATTGCTGGCTGAGTGGCCAGGGATTCCCTGAAGCAAAGAATGCATATTCACATTGAAAGGGTTTTGGCCCAGACAGGACACTGTAGCTGGTGAAGCCTTAAAGGCAGAACCAAGGAGCTCCTATCTCCTCCACCCTTAGGAATTTACCTGTGACTCCAACTTCCCTGCCCTCTAGGAATTTACCTATGGTGCCAAACAAAGACCAATGGGCTACCCGTGCATCCCTGATGCCCCTTTAGGTTCCACCCCAAACTGAGGCTACTTACATATCCCCCACATCACGTGTCCACCAGAGAGAAAGCTGGACTCCAGCTGTTGGGGGTTTTGGTTTTCTCTCTCCATGTTCTCAGAATAAAGGCCTCTTTTGTTTTATACTTCTCATCTTTTGGATATAATCTTATCATTTGGTGCCATGACTTGATCGGCAGGTGATTGACTCCTGGGACACACCCAGTTCCCAGCTGAATTCACGAACTGGATTATATCCTGGATTACTTCTCTGCTTTTCCTCTCCTGGAACCTGCTTGACTTGTCACCAACCACCCACACAAAACACCGGCCCGATTAATCTCAGGTGAGCAAACTCCAGAGAATTCTTGGTGCTGGGCTCAGCCCCAGGCGAGTTTTCTCCCCCTTTGCGTGGGTTTGTGAGGCTCTCATGTCTTTAAGACAGCCCAGGGCAGGGTCTTTTTGGGCAACCTGCGTCCACACTCAAAAATCTCTCACGTCCTTTGGGTTCAGATAGCCCAAGGCAGAGTTTTCTCGACCGCCCATACTGTGAGAACAGGGTTTTATTACCACTCAGGGAACCCCCATCATTAATGCTCCCCTTATCCTTAAACTTCTAGAGGCAGCCCAATTTCCAAAGCAGGCAGCAGTTATTCATTGTAGAGGACACCAAAACTCTACAGATCCTATTGCTCAAGGCAATGCCTTTGCAGAGTCACAAGCTAAGTTAGCTGCACAAGGGCCCTGCCCTTCTCATCTTCTCCCATTAGTCCCAAACAGTCTACCTCAGCCCAATTATTCACCAGAGCAGTTACAGCTACTTCATAAACCAGGTTACACACAAAACACTCAGGGATGGATTTTTCAGGGATCTAAACTTGTTCTCCTACATCAACAGACCTTAGACATCATCACTGACTTACACAACTGTTTTCATATAGGATCACAGGCCCTACAAACTCTTAGCCCCAACAGTCACACACCCTTCTCTAAAAGTTATCATTCTTAAGATTACTTACACCTGTTATCTCTGTGCTAGGACCTCTCCTCAGGGACGTATGGCACCCCCTTCCTTTCCTACCCATCAGTTTCGAGGACACACCCCTGGTCAGGACTGACAGATAGATTTTACACAAATGCCCCACCACAAAACTCTCAAATATCTTCTCACCTTTATTTGTACCTTTTCAGGATGGATAGAAGACTTTCCCATAACCAGGGAAACTGCTAATGTAGTTGCCAAAGTCATATTACAAGAAATCATTCCAAGGTTTGGTCTGCTTTAGAGTATTCAGTCAGATAATGGTCCCCCCTTTATTTCTCAGATCACTCAACAGGTATCCTCAAGCTTACACATCAGCTGGCATCTACACATTCCATACCATCCACAGTCCTCAGGGAAAGTAGAAAAGGCAAATGGCCTCATAAAGACACACCTTACAAACTCACTTTAAAACTACACCAACCTTGGCCTCAACTTTTGCCCTTAGCCTTAGCCAAGCTCAGGGTACTTCCCCGAGCTCCTACTTTCTTAAGTCCTTTGAATTCACATATGGCAGGCCATTCTTACTCCACAGTCTTCCTACTTCCCAAAATCTCCCTCCCCTTGCTGACTATGTCCCTGTCCTCTCTTTCCTCCAACACTTGTTGCGACAACATGCTGATCTCTGCCTTCCACAACCCTCTGGAGAAACCAAACCAGATCCTCCCATATCCTGAGGAGATCTAATTTATCTCAAATGTTCTAAATCCACAGGACTACAACCAAGATGGAGTAGCCCCTATCTGGTCTACTTGGTTACCCCTACTGTGGTCAAAGTTGCTGGACTCCCATCCTGGTTTCACATCACTTAGGCTAAGGGGTGTCCTCCCAGCCCTAAATCTGATCATTCTAAGTGGTCATCGCATCTTCTGTTGCCCACGCATCTCCGTTTCACTAAGGCCTCGCAGCCACAGTAACAGGCTGAGTCATGTTTTGTTATACTTTGGTTCCTAATTTCTTACATTCTATTAATGATCATTTTTACAGTAGGACTCTTGATAGTCTTTCCTAAGGACTCCCACATCATGCGTAAGATAATCTTCATTAATGTTCTATGCGATGACTGTCGCAGTTCTTTCTACCCTCAGCTGTCTGGTTAAACGTGACATCCCTGAAAGCCTAAGCCCTTACCTTCCCTATACTGATACAGCCACCGCTTTCCCTGCTCCCCCTATTTTTTCCAGTTCAACTCCTGGACTGGAGACAAGTTTTACACACCTACCCTCTTAACGTTTATGCTTTCAGATGGGGGAGTAATCACCTCTCATAACTTCACTCCTCCTAACCTCACACTTATTTTTCAGAATTCTACCGCACCGTGACAATGATCCTACCTCAATGTCATCCCTGATATAATGACATGTCTAAATCAAAGGCACCTTTCCTTCTACCTCACCTGAGTCCTTAAATATGACAGTGCCATGTCTCCTCATAACATCTTGTTTCTTTGTTTTTCCAGTCTAACATACATGCATTCACTAGTGAGGTTGCCCTGGCTAAAACACCTGGCACCAGCATCTACCTGGGCATCAACTGTCATCTGTCGACTCCCCTAGACTCCAGTAGTGTGCCCCCTGCCAGCAGGAAGTAGTTAAAGAGAGAAATCTTCACCCCTTCTCATAATAATAATCATAAGATGGGATATGAAAGGGTTTTGGCCCAGACAGGACACTGTAGCTGGTGAAGTCTTAAAGGCAGAATCAAGGAGCTCCTATCTTCCCCACACCTAGGAATTTACCTGTGACTCCATTTTCCCCGCCCTCTAGGAATTTACCTATGGTGCCAAACAAAGACCAATGGGCTACCCGTGCATCCCTGATGCCCCTTTAGGTTCCACCCCAAACTGAGACTGCTTACATATCCCCCACACCACATGTGTGCCAGAGAGAAAGCCAGACTCCAGCGGTCAGGGGTTTTGGTTTTCTCTCTCCATGGTCTCAGAATAAAGGCCTCTTTTGTTTTATACTTCTCATCTTTTGGATATAATCTTATCACACATAATCATTTCCAACTACAGACACCAGCTTTTTGTTTTTCTTTTATTTCACAGACTTCATCCCATTCATTGAAATTTTTTTATAGGTCTCAGGAATGTCCCTTTCCCTTTTTCCACCCCAAGCTGCCCAGACTTTCATGCTAAGTAATTGGAACATTCTAGTTTTTGTTTGCCCTGATGAGGAATCATAGGAATAAACAGTGAAGAGAGAAAGCTTGGGCCCTTAACTTCAGCAGTGGACTGTCAAATTTTTCTAGATAAGCCACCTGGAATCAGGCCTCCCACACAGATGGGGCTTTACAAATCTCCACCCTCTTCGTCTCTCAGGAGGTGCCTTCAGTTTAATTTTTGTAATTAGAAATCACCCATACCATAGGTTGTAGGTGCCACAGGCGATGTGGGCAGGGCTCCAGAGTTGTTGTACATTGCAGCATCTGTCACAACACAAGAGTTAAGTTAGAGCTGGGAGCATACAGCCAGGCAGTGGTTTATCTAGAAGCAAGTTGAAACCTAGAACACTATGAATCAATTGAGTGGACTTTCAGCAGTCTTTTTTAAAAAAGAACCTGGCTTGCTTATGTATTGAAAAACCACATGACTATGTCATTAAACGTGTAATGCAAGGAAATCATAATAAATAAAAATATAACCACTTATATATGAGGCAACTTTCCCTTTGCAAATTTTTTTCTTCTCAAATTTTATATCCAAGATATTCCGGTGCAGAACAGTGTTATAAATTTTGTTTATGGCAAATTCTGACTTTGTATGAGGCAGTGCATAAATCCAGTAAAGCAGAGAGAGAATACAGTAAGTAAAAAAGCACTGTATAGACACAATGTTCAGATGTTCTTTCCTTTAATAAAAATAAATTGTTTTACAAAAGTATTTCCATTATGCCCCAATGCTTGGCTCCTTAACTCATAAAGGAAGACTTCACTCATTTTTAAGATAAATTACTGACAGAGTGCCAATACTGTCCATTATTATCATTTTTGTGAGGCTGAAGCCTCTGAGTTCAATATTATCCTTTACCATGCATGTGTAGTCTCTGGGTGGAGAACCCAAAAGTATATTGGCCATACTGGTAATGGCATCCAAATTTTTCTCTTTGATTTGTGAAATCAAGGGGTCAAGAATCTGAACATGCATTTTCCTTATAGGCGATACTCTTTTCAGAAATCCTCGTTTTTCTTCTTCATAGCATTGTTATACAAACAGGGAGGTATCTGGAATCGATATGTACTTTTTGATTTGTGATCTTAAGCTCCAACAAAAACTAATACTATCATGACATCAGACTTAAGGCTTAAGAAATCCCAAGAGTCAAAAGTCATAGTCCATACAGCTGGACCAAGCCAAAACAAGTAAATGTTACAATTACTTGGCCAAAAGAATCCCAACGGGTGATGGGAATCTACTTGTACCCCAGTAGACAGACAAGGCACTACTTTTGAACATTTTAATTTGTGCTTTCGACAGACATTTCAGGTAAAATAATCAGTCGATTTACTCTAAAATTAAATCATTGGCATGGAAGGCATTTGGCACCAAACCTATTTTTCTAAATGTGTGCTTGTTCCTATAAGTACATTTTGAAATTTTCTGCTTTTAAAAATCAAATCACAAGGGATAAGTTCCTTCAATTTATTGCTAAATTAGTCTCTCATCCTCTATTATCTTATGCCTGTGCTTTCTTTCAGGCCTGGGAAATGTTCCATTCCTTTGGTGTTATTCATGAAAAACCCACTCCCTAGTGCCCCTCTCCTGACCATTTACTATGTTGGTACTACTTTTGATACTTTTTGAAAAATCATTGCATGGAATTTCTCTTCCCATCTAAAAGTTCATGGTATGAACAGTATTTTAAAATGTCTTCTAATTTTTTTTAAGATTTGGCACAGTTCTCAACTCCAGTAAGTTCAACCACTATTTGCTCAGACTGAGGCGGGGGGGTGCAAGTTTGAGCCCACCATGGCAATATAGTGAGATGTTTCTCAAAATAAAAAATCAAAATTGAAAAAGACCTGGGGATGTATCTCAGTGTGAAGATTCTGGGAGGGTGGGGGGATACAGTGAGAGGGAGAGAGAAAAAGCAAATTGCACAGTCAAAATAAATCTTAGTATTTAAAACAAATCCCTAAGAGTTAAACAAGCTGAAGAAAATGAACCTGTGTATCATGTTAATGACATAACTACACAGAGATAATATTATCTGACTCTACCTACATCAGCGTATAGTATTTCTACTGAATATTCTCATAGGATACAAGCTACAGGTAAAGAAAAGAGAATTATCAAGAAATCATAAACCTCACTCATATTTACAATGTGAGTAAAAGTATTGATGTTGGGTTTTTTGAGCTTTTTTTTTTTTTTTTTTTTTTGATACCAGGGATGGAACTTGATATTGGTTTTTTTGAGTAGTAGCTAAAATAGATGCTGCTAATGTTAGGAAACATGATATTTAGAATAAACAAAAGATCCTAATATGCAATTCAATTTAGGTTAAAACCTTATCTTTAATTTGAATTAGAAGTAACAATATAAAATCCTAATATTTTCCTCACTTTTCCCATTGGGAAGAATTCAATAAGCAATGATAATTCAGTAGCAATGAGCATTATCATTACATAATCTGTGGTTTCTAAATATTACTTTCCTCTAAAGAATGAAGATTTCTTCAGAAAAATGACTACTCCCACATCTATGGCAGTAAATGTTTCATCTTGCTCTTTCAGAAAAGAAGGAGTTTATCAGAGGTTTGTTTAAAGTTAGATTCAAAAACAGAGGTAGCTTAAAAGTGTAGGCTCTGGTTAAACACAGGACAACCTGAGCATGAAAAAGAATAATTGTAACTGACTAAACATTGAATTTATAAAGCTCAGTGAATCCTAATGATACAAAAGACAAAACAGATGTGAAAACCAAATGTCCAATATCACTAAAGGTTACTAGGTCATCAGTTCATTACTCTGGACATAGACAATTAGAGAGGGAAAAGTATCTATCAAGCTTTTCCAAAATAAACTGTAATTCAGGGTGAAGAAGTACATGAGGAAATTCAGCAGAAATCCTGCTAATAAGTGGAAAGAATAAAAGGATTTAAAAATCACTACTTAGCACCCTTTTTAGTGAAATAGTGTGTTCAGGTAAGGTTATCAATGCGGGGTAAAATGCAGAGCAAAATTCACTGGAAACTTTCCTATGAAGAGACAACCACACAAAACAAGAAATCACTCTGACTACCAACAAAAGTGAGGGAGTCCAACTTTACATTCCCATGATGAGATTTAACACAAAATACACAAGGCTTCTTGACAAAATAAATATTGAATTTGAATCAAATTGGCCAGTACATATAACTTCTAGCGTACAGTAATGACACAGAGTAGAAATTTTAGCAAAATAACACCGCAGAGAGCAGTTGGGAATGCCAGAATAAATTTCTTTTAAAAACAGGGAACTGATTTGTAAATCAGAAGAGATGTCTGAGGGATTTAATAAAGAAAATCTAGCAAGAGGCTTTTATTTGAATCATGCTTAAATAAAGACAATGGTAGCAAGGCATTGCTAGACAATGAAGTACTTAATATGGACAAGACATTAGGAAATACTTAGGAATTGCTTATTAATAAATATTATGAGCCATTATATTATGCCTAGAAAGATAACAGTACTTACAGACATCTCAAAATTTTTAGTAATAAAATCAAATAATGTTTCAGATTCTCTTTAATATACGTTAGCAAAAAAGAGAAAAATAGATGACTCAAGTGTGGCAAAACATACACAACAAAGCTGAGTAGGAATATATTGCTCTCTTCTGTGTATAATGTTTAGATATTTTCATTGAATATCTTAATCATGTTTCTTCCTACTTAAAGTTCTTAATGTGTATAGCTTTTGACATATTGTGTTATCATTTTAAAATACCTCTTTTCTAGACAAATGTATGAAGACAAGCCAAGTAAATACTCTATTCACTTCTGTTTTATAATTAAACGCCTCCATAATTAAAATTAGACAAGCCACCTACACAACCCTGCTCCTCTTGGAGATCTACTTGCGGGAACCTGAATGTTAGTCTTCCTCCACCCTCACTTATTCCCACCGCCCCACGGGAACCCCATGCTGCCCACCTGACTGGAAGGTGATCTCACTGAACATCATCCAAGTGTCAGCAAAATGGTATTGGCATTTGATGGCGCTGGCCATGCGGTGGTGGAGAGGCACTGTGACAAACCGAGCACTGGGGTTGACGTCATCCAGGACAAGGGGGAATGAGACAGCATTGGGCTCCCATTCATTGGCTTCCGAGCGGAAATAGCACTGGACTTCCTTAAAGATCTTCACCCCTTTAGCAAACATGTTGTTACAGTGGACCTGACAGAGAAAGAGGCATGTGAGTGACAGGCGGGCTCTGCCAGATTACATGGGAACACGGCACAAGCTCACCCAGTAGACGCCTAGATCTGTCTGTTTCTCTGAATACTATCCCTGGTGCTCTGCAGTCTTCTGGATCTTTTTGCCAGGGACTTCATAGTGGTCATGAAACATTGGTCAGGATTTACATAACCTTGGCTGCAAGCCCAGTTACCTCTGCAACTGTGCTCGGGCCACTTCCCCTCACTGTGCTGAGCTGCATTGTCCCCATGTACTAAGTAAGAGCTGAACCCATGTTCTCTCAAGACCTTTCTTGTTCTGAACTCTCTAAAGTGCACAGTTCTCTCAATCACGGTTGCCATCTATTCATATTTGGGCTATTTATTTTGAACCATAGTTGAAGTATAAGGAAGACTGCATCTTACTCCTGCTTGGTACCTTCCAAAGCCAGAACACTCCTTTTCAAGGGAATGAGGTAAGAAATCTGGAAGAATATAAATACAAACCCATATAATTTCATCTTTCTTTTAAGAAAGATGAAATTTCAAGCACATTGATTAACATTTTTCCTGCCAGAGTCATGGGTATAATCATGTCTCCTAATCAAATTCTTTTTAAGTAACATCATCCTGATAAGAGCATAGACCCTTTCTCATTGATAGTTTCTACAATGAGAAAAGAAGGTTTGTGGGAAATTTACTGGGATCCTCTAGCCTCTGTTTCACCAGGATATTTAAATGGCTTTTGAAGTTATCAGGGGCAAAAATTCCACAACAATTCTTCACCTTGCTGTATTTAACAAGCCACAAAAATGATATGCATGTATTTGCAATCTAGGTGCTTACTGTGATAGTTCAGTTACATGTTTTCTGATTCAGTCTCACATGAAAAGTGGTTCTTTGCTGACCATTTTTCCTTGAATTTAAGGACTTTAAATTCAAGTACTTGGAAAGACCTAGCTGTCACTCTAGGAGTATACTTTCTGTTTCCCTTTTAATGTCTTGCCTGTGTGGGAGTCATAATGCTTTGACTGTCTCATCCTGATCCCCTCCTCTGGCTGCTGGATAGTCAAGGTAGGACCACAATACATAATTTATTTTTAGCTGAAGAAAGAGCAGCATTGACAATAGAAATGTAATTGCTAAAGACTGGATGAGATGCATACTAAAGGTAGAATATCAGAGCTATTGTAAATATAATCTAACACCACACTTTATTGACTAATGAGATAGTGGTGCTCAGAAAACATTGGCTTGTCTAGAATCAATCAACAACAGAATTGGCTTTATATCCCTAGATTCGTATTCTGTGCTCTTTCCTCAGATTATCCCACATAGAAATAAAGCAAATCACATCTAAATTTGCATTTTTCTCCTAAGTTTTACTGATGACATGTGTTAATATCTTCCTCAGGAATGAATTAACTGTTCCAGCTTACTGAACACCAGTCAATGGAGTAGGGGTAAGGGAAAGAAGAAATAGCTATTTACAGTTTCAATAGATTTTTCAGATGTTTTGAAATCTCCAAAGTGTTGGATAAATATCCTGTGGGGAAGGTAATAATCTCTCCTACAGATGTCTTGGGAATTTTCCTGGAATGCAAATAAACAGCATAGGATTTCATTCCCATATGATCTTATATAGTTATTTAAATAAAACAATACACTTTCAAAATGCACTTATTATTTTAATGGTATATGTTAACCACATCGCAAAGGGGAAATAAGTAGAAATTTGCTTAGGAGGAAGGTACTGTTCTCTAAGCATCAGCTGCCTAAAATTTTCTCTTTTTACTTTTTGTCTCAGAAAAATTAAAGCATATTGAAAATCTGTTGGCCCTGAGAAGATGGGCCTGAATTTGCTCCTGAGAAGTTCCTGGAAGCTTCTCATTGCAATTTAAGCTCTTAAATAATTTTGACCTAGTTAAACAAAATTCTAGAGATGTAGGAAAACAAAGTCTCTTGATTAAATAGTATAAGTTTATCAAGAGTTCAAAACACATTTCATTATTTGTTGGAATAGAAACTATCCTAGTGATATTTACTTATGAATTTATGTACATGTTCACACGTGCATACGGATATAGAAAATATTTGGGAATACAAATTTTAAGTATACTTATATACTTTTATTAGTTGTGTTATAATCTGCATATCCCCTTCTTTCTTGCCCTACTTCCCAAAAAACATGGGAAGATCAAAACACGTAAACATAGGTGCACACACTTAAGTTTAACAATAGACAAAGAGCCATCCTTAAACTATAAACTAACACATTGGGCATGTGTTGATCCTTTGGTTCTCATCTTAAATGTCTGGAAATTTAACTAATACCTGTTAATCTATTTGGGAGATATTATCACTTTAACATCTGGGAGTGAAATAAAAGACATACATTTCCCTTAAGAAATCTAGTTAGTGTAGGGATTAACAAATTTTGCATTTTTTATGAGCCCATAATAACAACACAGATTTCTTTCTTTTGGGTCTCACATGATCTTATATACCTCTTTTGGCAAATAAATAAATAGTACGTTCCCTGACTTGTAACGTGTCTCAAGGGAGGGATCATTTCTTATTCACCTTTTTTTTTTTTTTTTGTCTCTTTTCCTTTTTATTGGTATCGGGGATCAAACTCACGACTGCCTGCTTACAAGGCAGGTGCTTGTGCCACTGAGCTAAATCCCCAGCCTCTTATTCACCTTTTTATACATAGTATATTGCTACATATGCTCCAAATACAGTTGGTAAATTAATAACAATCAAAAAAATGGGTAAATTAAAGAAACAAATATTGAAGCTGGGGACTGAGAATAAATAGAAGCAGAGTCATCAATGTGTTGGTTATTATTATTCTACACTCAACTGTTAATGGGTAGAAAGCAAATAAACTGGGGTACACATGTGAAGTCAAATTAATTTGCCCCGTCTTTCTTCTCAAGACCTTGAGGGCATCCTTAGGCTCCTTCATAAACCAGCCAGCTATGTAAGAACCACAGATTCTGTGGCCTCTTTCTTACATCAGACAGAAGAACTTTCCTCTATATCTGTGTGTCGTACTTTCTTTCTAACTCAGGAAGCAGGTAGAGCATTCAGTTTGGTTACTTTTTGCATGGTCTTTTCTCCTCTTCCATTCCTTTCTTTCTGCAGCAGACATGAGGCTCAGTAAGGGAACAAGAAAATAATTACTTGAGCTGAGTACTAAAAAATGTATCATGTTATTAACAGAGATGTCCTCAACTCTGACATCAAGGTTGGGCTTCCCTGTGAGGGCCTGCCAGAGAAGATGGAATTCAGATCTTAATTCTTCTCTCCCACCTCTTCTCAGGTGTGTGCATTTAATTTGGTCCATAACATGCCCAACTCTAGACCTCTCCCAAGCCTTTGGCTTCCATCTGACCACTCTACAAAACTCACCTGCGCTCTTTCAACTCCTCTGCAATAGTAACATGACAGAACAAATGCTGAGCTAATGGATGCATTGGCTCCGGTGTTGGAGTGGCAGAGAAAAGGGAGGATAGAGAGAAAGGGGTCTGGGGCAGGAGGAAGAGGGGGAAGAGGAAAAGAGGTTTGGAAGGAGCAGAGGAAAAGACAGAGGAGGAAACTGAGAATTACCGACCTACTCTAACCCCCTTACAGAATTTACAAATGAAGAAACAAGACCTGAGAGATGAAATACTCTTGAAATAGGTAAGAAGCTAATAGAGAAATGTATGCTTGAATCTGGTTCTGCTGGGGTCTGCTCAGGGTCCTTTCTACTACACTTTCTCTTACGTACTATGATGTTGGCCTCCTTGAAGAAGTTCCACCACTGACCTTCATGGTAGTGAAATTCCTGATGCGGTCAAATTCAAACATGATCTCAATGTAGCCGTTGGTGGCACTCTCATTCCGCCAGCCCACATAGTCGTAGCCTGGCCACACGTGGTATTCATGGGTCTGGGTGAAGTCATCCAGGCCAGACACCCCATCTGTGAGCTGGCCCAGCCCCTCAGTCATGCTGCGCGGCCAGGAGAAGGAAAGGAGAGAGCAATCTGCAGTTAGTGGCAAATTCCTGAAGAGCTTTGCCCTCACTACTTCTCCTAGGGTTTTGTAAGAGCTGATTATCTTGGATGTGGAAAATTATACAAAATAGAATTCATTTTATAGTAATGATTCATTTATTTTCTCAAGCATCAAGGAAAATTGTTTTATACAAATTAATTTTACAAAATGTTCAGTGCTTACCACGTTAGTGGTAAAACTCTGAAACAGTATTCTGTCATTTTATATGAAGGTTTCTGTAATCTATAGTATCTGCCTACTTTTATACACTGAATATAATGTCTCAATATAATGAATCAGTATTAGAAAATGCACCTGATGAATTAATTCATTAGCATGTGAATAAAAAAAATGAAAGCACTTAGCCTGTCACTAAATAAATGTTCAAAGCTCATTGGAAAATTTTTCAGATTCTCCTTTGACTGCACATTGTCACTGTTCAGTGAATTAACTTTATTTTTTTAATTTTTAGTTTTATTACTACATGTTTACAGTGTATAATGATTGCCTTCATCGTGGGAGCTGGTATGTATATTAACATGTTAATTCTTTTTCATCCCCTTTCTCTCCTTTTTCTCTCCACTCCCTTCAACTATTGGTCTCTTTACCTTTAGCAAAAGTAAATTAATTTTGGAGAAGCCATTTATTCTTTCTTCTACCTGAGATTTCCAAAAACCCAATTCAACTAAGAGCAGAAGAAAAAATGATTCCTGTTGAATTTAAAAACTAACATATATATTATATATTACATATATATATATATAATTACTTTAAAATAAGTATGTAGAATACTAGATCCATGGAGTAAAATGCAGTTCTTATGAGAATCATAAGATGTGAATTTATTTCCTAGCTTGGCAGTGTTTTCCATTTCTGAACATAAGGCTGCTTTGAAGGGCTGAATATGTCTGAGTCTGAGTATGTCTGACTCCTAGAAGGGACACAAGTATATTTATGTTTTTTATTTATTAAATTTATTGGTACAATGTACATAAATATAATTATTGTAGTCATAGGAAACTTGTACCTATAATGGCATGTCCTAGTTCCTCTTTTATTTGTCTCCTATTCCTCTCCTCTCCCCTCAGCCTTTCCTACTCTTCTTTTTAGCAAATCAGCTTTTATGCTGCTGAGCTATATTCCTAGCTCCCTTTCTAATTTATAAAGCTTTCTTTCCAATTTAACCTTTTTTCTCATTTTTTCTTTTCCCTTTCTCTACTTTTGGTTTTTTGTTGTTGTTGTTGTTGTTGTTTTGTTTTGTTTTGGTGGTAACAGGACTCGAACTCTGGACCTTACACTTGCCAAGCAGGCATTTATGCCACTGAGCTAAATCCTCAGTCCAGTCCCATTTCCTCTATTTTCCCATTTCTAAATTTTTTTTACCTATTTCACAATATGTATTATATCTTTTTGTTCTATGCTTTCAGTTTCTCATACCAGAGAAACAATATGATATTTACATGTGTGTCCTATTTATTTCACATAAGAGTATGGTCTCAAGGTACATCTAGTTGGTTATAAATGTCTCAAGTTCTTCCTTCTTGGTGAAACTTCTTGGTTTCAATTTCATTGACAGATATTAGGTTATTTAGAATTTATCTTCTTGATTCAGTTTTAGTAATTCATATGTATGTAGAAATCTATCCATTTCTTCTATATTGTCCATCTCAGTGGAATACAGGTTCACAAATTAGGTACGGATGACCTGGGTTTACAAAGGATCCATTGTGATCTGACCCAAATTTTTCCTAACTGCATGAATGTAAGTCTTTTCTTTCCTTTTTATGATAAGGTTGGCTAAGCGCTTGTCAATTTTTTGACTCTTTCAAAAACCCACTCTTCAATTTACTGATTCTTTGTATTATTTTCTGAGTCTCAATTCCTTTAATTTCTGCTCCAGCTTTTATAATTTTATCCCCTGTACTAGCTTTGGGCTTGATTTGCTAATCTTTTGCAGAAGTTTGAGATTCAACATTAGCTTGTTTATTTCAGCTCGTTATGTTTTCCTGAGATACAAGTTCACCACAATTAATTTCCCTCCAAGACTGCTGTTATATGTCTCATAAGGTCCAGTGTGTTGCATCAGCATTATTGTTTAACTGTAGGTACTGTTTAATTTCTTCTTTAATTCATCTGTGACCTATTGGTTGTTCAGTAGGACGTTACTTAATTCCCATGTGTTTATTGAGTTTTTGTATTTCTTTTACCATTGATTTCCCATTTCATTGCACTATGGTCAGATAATATGCATGAGATAATTTCAATTCCTTTATCTCTACTTAAGCGTGTTCTACGGGCTAGTATGTGGTCTATTTTGAAGAAAGTCCCAGGTGACACTGAGAAGAATGTGTACTCTGATGTTGTGGGGTAGAACACTCTGTAGACATCTACTAAGTCCATTTGTTCACAGGTTTGATTCATTTCTATATCTATTGATTTTTTGTCTAGTTGATCTATCTACTTGTGACAATGAAGTATTAAAATCCTCCATTACAATTGTGTAAGAGCTTATTTGATTTTTCATGTCCATTAGCACTTGTTTTATATAGTTGGATGCACCTCTGCTTGGTGCATAATATTTATGATTATAGTCTCTTCTTCTTGAATTTTTCCTTATCAAATATATAATGCCCTTCTCTATCTCTTTTGATCGATCTTGGCTCAAAGTTCACAGAATAGCTACTCCTGCTTCTTCTAGGTTCCTGTCACATGGAGTATTTTTTTCCACTCTTTGATTTTCAGTCTATGAATTTCTTTTTGAGTTAAACATGTTTCTTGAAAGCATCATATTGTTGGATCTTGTTTCTTGACCCATTCTATTTCTTTTGATTGTTGAATTGAGATCATTTACATTGATGTTTATAACTGATATGTATTGGCTTGTGCTTGCTGCGTTATGTTCCTGCTGGTGGTTCCCTAGCTTTCCCCTCTGTTTAATTGTTTGCTCTCTCTGGTGGCTTCTTTCTGTCGGTAATCTTAGAGTTGTGGTCTTCATTATCCCTTTATAGAATATCTTTTAAAACACTTTGTAGAACTGCTTTGGTTGTTGTAAATTTCTTCAGCTGCTCATTGCTATGGAAGTATTTTATTTTCCCATTAATCCTGAAAGATAATTTTTCAGAATGATCAATCTGGGTTGAAAAATGCTTTCTTTCAGAACTTGAAATACTTTGGTCCAAGATCTCCTTAAAGGTTTGTATTGAGAAATCTGCTGTGATTTTGATGGACTTTCCTTTATAAGTAATTTGTTTCTTTTTTATAACAGCTTTTTATATTCTACTCTTGTGCTTCTGGAATCTTGATTATTATATGCCTTGGTATAGATTTATTTTGATTATGTTTAATTGGACTTCTGTATGCCTCACTTATCTATAAGTCAAATTCTTTTTTTCCATGCTTGGGAAATTTTCTGCTATTCTAGGGACATATTTTTTATGTCCTTTTTTTATTGACTCCAATCAATCTTACTTGTTTCTGTGCATCATCTTGCAATAACTGAAGAAAAATTCCTTGCTACTTTTAAAAGATCTTTCTTTTCATGGTTGCTATACATGATTCTGTCTTCTAGATCTGATATTCTATGTTCACTTTCTTTCATAAGTTTTTCAAACTTTCAGTGGAATTTTTAACTTCCTGGATATTTGTTTGAATTTGTTTCATGGATTCCATTCCTTTTCTATGTTGGGCATTCAATGTGTCCATCATTTTTCTATGCTCCTCTATTTTTAAAATCTGTCTACTTTAGATTTGCTGAGAAATACTTCAGTATTGTTGTCATCTCTTTTCTGACCTGTGAAATTTGTTCTTCTCTCCTCTAGAGACTCACGTACATGTCTGTTATTTCTGCTGGTATTTCCAGAAGATTCATATTCTGATTTCCTCTGTCTCATTTTCCCCCAGATTCATCCTATGTGGGCTAGAAGCTGAGGGCTGCATTTTGCTTCTGTGCATTTCCATTTCTATTTTTTTATTTAAATTTGTTTTCTGTGTTGATGTCTGTAATTTTCTTATGTTAGGTAGGTTTATCACTGGTATTAAGAATTCTCTAGAAAATGGGTATTCCTCTGAGATGTCTTCTAGGCATAACTGGCTTTTGGTCTTTGTGTCTGTTCCAAGTTCCTATCTTCCCACTCTATTAAGGGTAAGGAGTTGCGGTCTATTTGGCCAAGCACCCAGACTTTGGTACTAGACTACGGGGATGATTATGACTACAGATTACCACAGTGTTGCCATACAAAAGTTAACAACTAATCAACAACAAGTATAGCATCTTAGCCAAAGTAGTACAATTAGCAATAACAATACTATCAGGCACAGCGAAGCAAGATCTATAGTTATATAACAACATCTACCATGGACCTGGAATTTATACACAGTGAGTTTCCTCTTGGTAGAGTGGTTTTATCCTGTGGGGAAGGGGAACTTAGGAGGAAAAGGGGACAAAGCAGGGCAATAACTGAAGAAAAATATAGTGGATGCAAGACTGAAGTATAAAGGATGATCACCCAAACTCTGGGAAGCGAGAGAGGAAAGCAAGAGAGAAAGGATGAAGAAGAAAGCAAGACAATATTGAGTTGAACTAGAAAGACTACAGACAATTTTCATTCACATATAAATATCAGAAAAACAAGAAAGACTACTGAAGAAAGAGAAAGGTCAGAGAAAACAAGCAAAACAATTAAGTCAAAAGTTAAACAACCACCCCTCAAAAACAAATTCCTCTGGTGTCCCCAGTTCTGTGTTAATTCCCTGGGCAGAGCCACAATCTGAACTGAGTAACACCACCAAGACTGCAGTAGACTTCTGCTGGTGTTAGGGCTGAATTTGGCCACACCACTGACTCCTCTCATGAGCTGGTCATAGGGCAGGAGTAGCACCCTTGTCCAACCACCAGCCAAGGCCACTGCCTCCCTGTTCTACTGTTTGTAGAGCAGAGGGCTGCTTCCAGTCCACTGTAGCTAAGACTAAGACTGGTCTCAGTTCCTACTTTTCTGAAGAACTTCCCCCAGTCTTCTGTCCAACCACTGGCTCTCTACTGGTACTGAACAAACCTTCCTTGTTTCCATTAAAGACTGTTAGCAGTGAAGTGACCCTAGAGCTGTTCTGCTGCTGGAGTTTAAACCCTGAGCCCTTTAAAGTACAACAGAGTGGTGGTACTATCGATCTGTACTGTTCCTCAGAGCAACTGTTTGCCAGGTACCATGTTAGTTCACATTCCAACAGCTGATGGGGTTGGGGAGGAGACCTCAGGAAACAATATCTCATGTTCTCACTGCTGCCTCTGCCTGTACAAGACTCTCCTGATCCAGGTCAGGTCTCAGTCTCCCCGTGGGTATAAAGTTGCTTTTGCTGAAGCTGCTCTAGTCACACTGCTCAGTCTCAGATCTCAACAGAGTTGTTTCATCTGTAGCAATGAATCCTGTTTACTTCTTCCCCATTGTCAGTTCCCATGTGCCCTGCACATCCTTTGTATTCTCTCCGAGCTGTTGTTTTCCAGACTTTGAGAACTTTGTTCTGGAGAAGCTGAGGAGCTGACACTCAGCATGCCACCCTTTTGAACAGTCAGATATCAAGAAGTATATTTATATTGATTTGTCTACGTGATGAACATGAAAAGCATCCTTCCTTTTTCTCATAGGTGAACAGAGCAAGAACCCACCACATGAAGCATCTCTTTCAATCAGCTCTGTACCACCAGCTGTGGGAAATATGTTAGGAGCCTCCCAAAAGAACAGTTGCTAGTACCCTCAAGCAATACTGCAAGTGACCTCTGAAGTCTATAACAAGAACAGGCAGTGTGTAAAATTCATGAATTGCCAGAAAACAGTTAATATTATGTCAGACTTCTAGAGACTTTTTTTTTTTTTTTTTTTGAGACAGGGTCTCACTATGTAGTCCGGGCTGAACTTGAACTTATTTATGTAGCTCAGGCTGGCCTCAAATTCAAGCCAATATTTGTGTCAGAACATACATCCTGTTTTCCAGGTCAAAATATGGCTACTACACTTCTGAATCACACGACAAAGTTTCACCATTTATTTGTGTAATTTATTGTTGTTTTCTGCGTGTTTACCTTGTCTTCCCAAAAGTCGCCTTTAAATTCCTTGTAAATAAAGGCCACATAATTTACTTCACTTAAATTGTCTCACAATAACTAGCACAGAAATTAAATACTGATTAGTGGATTGATAATTAATTGAGATGTATAAAATATTTGTTTCCTGGTGGTCATTTTCCCATTCTGATGACCAAACTTTCCCAGAAATTACCTGTACCCAACGGCTCCATCGTAGACAGAATCATTCAGATAAATGATGGAGCCTCCAGGGAGTACAAATTGCTGCCCAGCGGGAGCATTATAAGACACCAAGCCATCTGCCAAAGGAAACACAGTTGTCAGTACCACCAGGAATGAGACGTGGTTACTACCCAGACTATCTATCCCTAGAGAGGTATGTGAGTTTCCAGGGTACAAACCTGTGCAGCATGTCCACTCAATGCAGGGACACAGGGAACACTGCTGAGGGGCACTCTTTAGTAGCAGTCAGAAGAGTGACTCTAAATACATCACTCCAGGTGTAGGTCACCAAGCCCTGGGTAGATGAACAGTGATCCATTGTCTACTCTAACCAAGAGGAAATAATTTCATTTCATGGTAACTGAATCCATCCTTTCCTTATTTGACTGTTTTTCTTTCCCCCAAGGATTGTGTTTTTCACAAGATTTGTGAGATCCCAGTGCTAGAGACCTACCTAGCCAGACACAGCCATAAAGCTCCACCCTCATACACACGTTCATGGAGTGGTGAGTGACCGGAATGAAGCGAACAAATCTGGCTACAATAGGAGGCTCCAAGTCCTTCAGGAAAATGTCATAGGGGTTACTATTTCCATCCAGCACCTAAGAGAGACAAGAGAAAGAACAAAGAGGGAATAAAATCATGTTCACTCTTCTTCACCCTATCACCTTTTTAACATACCTTCTCCTTTTAATTCAAGGAACATAGCATATCCACTCAGCTTTCCTAGCTGCCACCTCCCTTAACTTAAATCATGATCACAGGACATGCCAGGTCTGTAGATACACATACCTACACAACTTGCGCTCATCTTCTGGCCTAAGTCAAAATCTGGTCTTGGTCCCCCAGGGAGTGGATGTCTCTTCATCCTACCTGTTTTCCATGCCGGTTCCTCCAAGAAATCCAGCGAGTGCCATCCCGACTGTAATTGATCTTGTACATGGGTGCAAACTCAATGCCATGACCCCCCGCATGGCGCCCCTGCGTCCCAACAAGAGTGATAAAGTGTAAGGTATGCAAGTCAATCTGCAGAAACTCCTTCAGGTCATCAGGGTCCACTGGAATCTCAGGACACCAGGCTCCATCCCCTTCTTCGGAGTCCAGCCTTGAGAAGCAAAGGTTGGGGAGAGAGGAAGCAACTATAAGACCATAGAGTTGTTCATCAGGTATCAGCAAGGAGCTGTTCTGTGCTGAGGGAAGAAAGCAAGCCAAGAGCCCAGACAGGGTTTGAGGTTCTCCCCTCTGGTCTGATTGCTCCCACCATTCCCATTTTGTGGTCAGTTTGCTTTCTGTGAAGCACTACAAAACCCATAGAAAATCACCACTGGGGAGCAGGATGCCTTCAGAAAACATACATTTCAAGTTGATTTAGAGACTTCATAGGATGTGAAACTTCTACACTCTGTTCTCCCATAGAGGCCTCTCACCATTCCCCTTCCCAATTTTCAAAGTCAGTCTAACACAGCTCACTGCTCTTGGCTTGGATATCAAGTTGTGGGAGGCAGGAGGGATGTTATATTCTCCAGTGTGGGTCATACAGTGCAGTGGAATTTTAACCAGCAGGATGGGCATGGCCACCCAGCAAACACTGAGAACCCACTGTGAGGGTAAGGGCTAAGAGCATGTCAGGGGAGTAGTAAATAATCTGGTTTCATTTTATTACCTCCAGGCTAAGTTACTACTGAGCAAAATTGTGAAATCAGTATGAGATTTATTTTGGGAACCTCTTGCCACTTTCCCTCTTCCCTGGAATGCTCCCTTTTCTCACAGATGTTACCCATTCATCTGTTGCTCCCTTTCAACCTCCCCAACCATCAGTCTAGTTTTTCACACCAAGGTAAATATTATGGGGAAAGTTTACCAAGGTCACTACCCCTATGCGTGATTCTATTTTAACAAAATCAGTACCTTATACCAAAAGAATTAGATCCCAGAAGGAGGGATAAATTCCAAGAGTAGTTTTTGAGTTGGGATTCTGTTGATTTAGAGGACCAGTGAAATATTGCCACAAGAAGCCTACGATGCCCTGTGTATGAGTGCAGTTTAACGGAGAAGAATTTGGTGAAGCCCTCAGTGTCTGACTATGGCCTTGAGGCTTTGTACAATGAGTGGTATTTGCACGGATACCCCCAAGAAGAGGAGCAGCTCTCCTAACTCTTAGTATCCCACATCATCTGGACCTTCTCATATCTGCTGCTTTGGTCTCTTTCCTGTAGCAGTTCACAGCGAGAAGGTCAGGTAATGAGAATTCACAGCAAAACAATGAATCCATTCACTGTGGGCATGTAGCTCTGTGGCACCTGTGGTTGGGATGAGGTGGTCAGAGCAGCACATGCAGCCAAGCCCTGATTTCTCCCTCTGAAAGCACAAAGAGCAGGACAAGCCCACTTAACATCCTTCCTTCATTCCACCGGCTCTGACCAGTACCACCTCTCCTCACTGGCTGAAAAGATCACTCATTTGTATCCTGAAAATCAGAATGACCCAGAATGCAGGCTTTCCTGATATAGCCATTCTCACCTTCCATATTTGGCAGCTGTAGAATCTGACCACTGACTGGAAGCTGTGATGTCCTCATCCGGAATGTGGCCTCCTGACATGCCCAGAGGGTAGCGGCATGTAGCTGAACCAAAAGAAACCAAAGATAAAAGAGAAGAGAAGCTTTTATTTTTATTTCCAGAGTCTTCCATGGAAATTATAACTGATTGTTGAACAGGAAGTAAGAGATTTTAAATTTTTCCTTGAGGGCCCCAGTTTGAGCCCCTTGACTTTGCCATTCTTTTCATGATCCTGAATCCCAAAACCAGTTAGGGTCCAAGATTTCAACCTCAGCCAAACTTATCTCAGACAAACTCTCACAAGTAATGTAATATGGCATAATGTATTGATTTACCCTTTTATTTGGTAAGAACCCCAATGGCCCATCATTTTCCTTCCTTAGCAAAAATATGTTTCTAATGAATTTCATAATATCAGTGAGTCATAATCACCAGGTACTCCTGTGACCCATAGCATTCTTTTCTTCATAGTTAGGTAATTGCATGACACTATGAAGTAAACCAACAAACTCTTCCATGAAAAGATTAAACCTACATTTTTGGCCCAATAGCACTATGTCTAGACCTTGGTCCAAAATAATAACCCCTAGGGATCAACTGCTACTTTCAACTAAGATACAGTGACAGAGACAAGATTTACCATCTTGTATTAAATAATCAAAAAAGATAAAATGTGTGAGGTAATGAACATCAGACAAAAAAGGGCAGTAATTTCTGAGAGACAAGACACAATAATGAGGCCGATGACTGAACCAGCTTACTGCTATGAGGATCCATTTACAGCACAATGAGTGAGAAGTCAGCAGAGCTTGGAGAACTCCCGGAATGAAGAGACAATGATTTGAGTCCAGAGAGCTCCAGAGAACTGACATTCTTAGGATATAGAGTCGCCAGGTAAGATATAGGATACTTAATTAAATCTGAATTTCAGATAAGCTAATTTTTTATTGTACTTTCGTGAAATTAAAAAAATCAAAGCATGCAAAGAAGCAGGGAAATAAAACTCATGTTGAGAAAGAAAAAATAAGAAGCAAACAATTTAAACTGATTCAGATCTGGTGTCATTTCAAAATCTCAATAGCATTTTTATATGAAAACTTTTTAAAGTTCTAGGATTCACATAAAACCTCAAAAAGCCCTGAATAGCCAAAGCAATTTTGCAAAAGGAAAGCAGAGCTGGAGATATAATACTCCAAATTTCAAAACACACTGCAAAACCAAATACAAAACATAAAGACTGCTGCTGAGGAGGTGGAGAAATTGGAACATTTGTAAACCACCAGTGGGAAAGTAAAGTATACAGCCACTGTGGAAATAGTGTGAAGGTACATCAAGAATTATAAATAGAACTACCACATTACCCAGCAATTCCCTTCCTGAGTATGCTATATATGCAAAATAATCAAAATTAAAATATGAACTTCCATGATCATAATAGCATAATTCATGATAACCAAGACATGCAGACAAACAAAATATTTATTAACAGATAAATAGGTGAAGAAAATGTGAGATACACATAAAATGAAATATTATTCAGCCTTTGAAAAAAGAAATTCTGTAATTCAAAAAACAGAAACAAACCTAGAGGACATTATGCTAATCACAGACAGACCAATACTGTATTATTCCACTGTAAATGAGATGTCTAAAATAGCCAAATTCATAGAAACAGAGAGTAGAATGATAGTTACCAGTGGCTAAGAGGAGGGGAAATGGAAATTTGTTATTTAACAGGCTTAGGTTTCAGTTAGACAAGATAAATAAATTAGAGAGATCCACTGTACAATACTGTGTCTATGGTTAACAATACTGTATGTAACACTTAAAAGATCTTGTTAAGTGAAGAGTTCTCATGCTAAGTGTTCTTACTACAATAATAATTTTCTTCTAAATTGACTGCATTTTATACCTAGGTATTTTGCTAGCCTCCATCTAGTCTTAGCACTACCATTCAGCAACAAAAAGGTATGAGCTATTACCACATGCTGTAGTATAGATAAACTTCAAAATAATTGTACCGAATGAAAGAAACCAGATGAAAGATTATCTATTACAAGCCTCCACTTATATTTAATTCCAGCAAATGAACAAGTCAACCCATTGTGACATAAAACATACCAGTGATTTTCTGGGGCACACTGGAGACGCCAGAAGGATCCCAAAGGGGCATAGTGAAATTTTGATGGTAATAATTTTATGGTTTTAAACTACATAAATATCAAAACTGATCAAATCATGCATTTTAAATATGTGCTGTTTACTCTGCATTACTTATACTTCAGTAAGCTGTTTTTTAAAAAACAGTAAACTTTGGTAAGCACGTTATGAATTTGACTTTTGAATTTTCACTTTCCTTTTTAAAGCAGGTAACTAGACCTTTCGGTTTCTTCAACCAAAGGATGGTTTTGTGTGTATAGGACATAAATTAATTGCTTCAAGTTAAATAGCTTTCTAGAAAAATTGACCTCATTACAGGACTGCAGGGTTAGATTGGAATGATGGAGAAATCTGCAACTTCCCCAGGCTTAGAAGGTGTTATGGTTTAGATAGAGTGCTCCCCAAAGGTTGCATGTGCTCAGAGGCAGGGCTTTTTGAAGTTGATTGAATCATGGGAACCTATAGCTGACTTGCTCTTTGGAGGTAAGGCCTGGTTAGAGGAAGTCACTAGAGGCATAATTTAAAAGTGCATATCCCTCTCCTCAGCTCCTCCCTTCTCTCCATTATTCCTTTCTATCATGCATTCTGTTTGGGAGCTGACCAACCATGGACTGTAAACATGAGCCAAGAGAAACCTTTCCTCCTTTAAATTGTGGCGGTTGATAATGTGTCTCAGCTATGACAAGTAATTACAACAAAAAGGTACTGAGGTAAACAAATTGTAATACAACCTACCATATACCATTTCCTGGAAGACACTTAGAGAGGCAGCTAAACATCAAGAGGAAAGAGGTTTTGTGTGAATACGCTGGCCAAGCCTTGCACAGAGACAGAGCTCCCGTACTTACGAAACATCATGGGCTCAGGAAATAAAGAAATCAAATACAATCATGATGAACTAAAAACAAAGGAGCCTTCTGCTTGTATCATACCCAATAAAGCTCCTAGGAAAATGATAGTTCCAGGCCATGGACAGCCAGTTACTCCCAGACACTGTGGTTAAGCAAAGCCTTATGCAGACAACTCTGGCAAGAAACACAGCCCTATACCCAACCATAGCACTTCTATGTTCTCTACCCGTTACATTTTCCCAGTTGGATTTGAACATGAGAATCTAGTGAAATAGTTAGGGACCACCATGGTAGGACAGTGCAGGACAGAAATCTGTGGTGGTGAAATACACTCCTAGGTGCAGTAAATCATTAGCTTTTTAACCTGGCACATTTCAATAGATCCATCAAGAGAGCCTGATAAAACTGCAAAAGTAGAATGTTTGTATGAAATGAGAAATTGCTGCCAAAAAGCAAAACAAAACAAAAAATCTAAATAATCCATGCAACTTCGTTTTTCTGATGTTGTTGTTTTGCTTTGTTTTGCTTGGTACCAGGAATTGAACTCCCAACCTCACACTTGCCAAAGCTGGGACAGTGCCTCTGAACTATATCCCTGGCCCCTTCATTGTTTTTGGTTGATTTAAAATCACTACTTTTGGAGATCACAGCTGCATAGCACTAGAGCTTCCCACTTGCTTTGCTTTAATTAGCACCTCTGACCTGTGGGTTATAATAACAGTTGTCTCAGTTATTTCCCTGGGATCTACTGGCTGCTTTTGCTAAAATATTGGCTCTTCACTTGGGCCTGCAGATGTCTAATGGGTGATAAATGGGATAAAATTGGCACTTTTGTCTTCATACTCTGTCATCTTTGCTGTCACAATCTTGAGTCAGATTTTACTTAGTTCTGAACATAGATAAGTTGATCTTTTTTTTTAAATTCATGTTCTTGACCAATACTGTGATACAGGATTAGCTTGATCTGCTGCCTGTTGGAGCAAGTATGTATTTTTCTCCCTTCCCCCACCTCTTTTTAGCAGCGTAAGCACAGAAAGTTCACCAACTCTATGAAAAAGACAGAATATTTGTGCAAGATGACACCAGCTATGAGTAACCCAGAAGTTTATGAGCAAACTTGACTGCCTATGAGCCCACTAGTATAATAAAACCAGGACATTTTGTGCAAGATGATGATATCAGATACATAAAATTCCCCAGCCTCTAGAACTAGCTGATGCGTCCTTTTAGAACCATGCCCTTGGTCATTGAAAAATACTGGACTTTAGCTCATCCCCAAGAAATCCATAAAAATCTGCTGGTCTCTTTGTTCTGTGAGCAGCAGCTTGACTGCTCTTTAACCGATTGCTCTGTCTCTTCAGCCAAAGCCTCAATTTGGCTGATGCTCTTTGCCCTTTGCTTTGCCTGTCCAAGGGTGTGTGAGTTTGCAAGACTTGGCTCCGTGTCCTTTTTATCATCTCTGGATCAAAACATCCCATTTTCTAGTACCATTCGAATCATCTTGCTTATTCTTATTTAAAACACAAGAACAAACTGGAACTGTTTGAAGAGATGCCATAGCTTTTCAAAATTCCAAACCCTCTAAGAAATGGTAACATTCTCAAAATAAAGATCATTTATATTCCATACTTCTTATCTATTCAGCCACCGCCGGTCCCCCACAGTTATATCAGTTAGAAGATGGGGTCCAGTCAGAAGAGGAGGGTCAGTGAGGATGTGATCTGTAATGGATTATCTCCCTCCCTGGCTCTTCCGTTTTCTCTACACTTCCTGGCCACCATGATGTGAGCAGCTTTCTTTCACCAGACCCTTCCACCATCCTGTGCCTGCCTTGGAGTCAGCTGACCATGGACTGAATCTTCCAAAAACCATGAGCCAAAATAAACTTCTCCTCCTTCATGTTGTGAGTGTCAAATATTGTAACCTGTGATAGGAAAGTGACCAAGAAAAATATTCAGCATGCTTTTGGCAAATAAATAGGTACAAATAGGTGGATGGAAAGATGAAAGCAAGGGAGAAGGATGTAGGCTAACAAAGTCACTGCACCTTGAACT